AAGCGGCGGCAACGGAGTCTGCGAGTTGAGAGACGGACGGCGAGCCGCCCGTGCGACAACGGCCGGTCCAGCAGACGGGCGAGTCGACGTGGGAGAATCGGGCAACGGCCCCGGCAGATGTGGCCGCTTCGGCGGAGACGGCAGGAGCCCCGACGGCGACGGCACCCCACGACCCGAATCCTCCGCACTGTTGAGGGATGTCAGCGGGGTGAGTCGAACACCTAGCGGGGCGGCAGAGAGCTGCGGCTGCAACTGTTTCTGCAGTTGCGCGTCCATCATCGCCGCCTCAGCGGGGTCGTAGGTGGAGAAGCCGATGGGGGCGAGTGAGCCGACCGCCGCGCCGGAGCTAGGGTGACGAGGGTCCGTCGCACCATCGTTGATGCTACCGGTGGACCGGCGACGGAGGTGGAGGCCAAAGGCGGCGGCGCCGCTTCGTTGTTGTTCCGTCAGCACGTTGGTGCCACCCACCGTCCCACGACGCACCGCCGTGACGCTTAGCGGACGACCGCCAGCGCCGCCTTTTGGGTCTTCCAGTGTCCCGCCCACGGCTTTCAGCTCATCGAGCAGGGCAGCGATGTCCGTCGCATCGACCTCGTCATTATGATGTACTCGATAGCTGTTGGGATTCATCTGTACAATCAAACTTCATAAGGTAACGCGCTTTGCTTCATGCGGGTTTTGCGCCAACACGGGATGGTTTGATGCCTCCTGTCCTCAATATATAGTTAAAAGCGGTGTCAATTGTCTATTGGAAAAGCTGGAAGGAAGTGTCCTTAACTCATGCGTGTGCGGACGACCCCCACTTCACTTGACGAGCCCGTGCCGCAAAACGTATTTACGATAGCTCTCGGTATATCTGTTGGTGTTTTCTTCCTCTGAAGGTGATTCGATAATGTTTGTTCAACACGACGGTTTTTGTTTTTTTTTTTGAATTGTTCTTCGCTTGGTACTGCCGTTATTGCAGAGAAAACAAGGGGTTGACGAAGAGCAGGGGCACGCCGGAAGAGGAAGAAGAAACGAAAAGGTGTGGTACAACATGTTTGACGCAATATGATCGAGTATTGGAATATTTAGTCAAAAAGTCCTTCGCTCAGCACGAAATAGCTGAAACAGAAGCGACTGCGCTCCTTTACCTCCTATTCCTACGGAGGCTGTTTGGGCTCATGGGGTACGCGGCTTTCCTTCTCTCTCTCTATATATATACGTACTCCTGCCGGACAGCTGGCAAATGCATTGCTCAGAGAAACACACACACACATGCCAATCAACTCCAGGACAGCAGTGTGTTTTCAAAAACTACGCACCGCGGCGCATTCAACGCCGTTGCGCCGATTTTCGCTCTCCACTGCGCTGCGGCCTGATCACTTGACCACATCACAAGCACGCGTTGCGCGCCAGGGCAGAGGATCTCCTCCATCTCACTCGCCATGCCGAGCTGCTTCAACCAGCGCCACACCAGCGCATCCCACATAGGCGTTTCATGAACATCCGTGCAATGCTGTGCAGTTTTCCTGTCGTGCTGGATGCTTTCTATTCCTTCTGCTGCCGCGGTCGTAGGCGGTAGGGTATCACTTTCTAAATCGCTGCCGCTCGCACTCGGGCTACGCGGCAGCTCTGTACACGTCACACAGACACACCGACGCCTCCACGACGCTTCTTGTTTACGTGACAGCGACACAGCAGGGGAAGATTGGAGGACAGGGAGGTCGAGCACGGGTGCCAGTGACACCGCACTCTGGCCCAGAATACCGTTGCCTCTTCCTTCATCGTACGCATCGCCGTCCGCTTCGCCGTAGGAAGAAGAGTAGTAACTATCATGCTGCATAGGCGCATACATGTAGTCCGGCAAGTGTAAAACAGGAGAAGGCACCACGGAAAACGCAGGTGGTGGTGGTGGGGGCGGCAGCATGGGAAAGGTCCCATTCAGAGCACTCTCGTGCAGAACACCGTCTGGCGCTGAAAAAAAAGAGTTGTGATAGACGGAGTTATTCGAATAGGAGGGATAGAAAGGCGCGGCGAGCGCAGGCGGTAAAGGGATGTCGTGCTGCACGTACGTGGATGAAGGTGCTCGAAAGAACGAGGAGTCGTACATTGGCGGTGTATGCGACCACGCCGCCTGCGCCAAAGACCGGTAAGGAGGAACGGCGGTCAACTGAGGCGAGAACGGTTGCAGAGCCGCCGTGTCTGTTGTAGTTCTCAATTGTGGCGGCACTGGTGCGTTCGTTAGGGGACTATCGTTGTTCACGGCCGCATTCTGCAAGCCTATCTTATTTTCCTGTACGGTAGATGTATTTGGATCGGTCGAAAACGATTGCAAAGGAGGAAAAGCATTCTTACCGTTGCCGGGGTCTACAGGTAGCCTAGGAGTTGCTGAAGCATCCGTTGGCGAAGGGGAAGAAGATTCTGAGGGGACCAGCGAAGCCTCGTTTAAGGTTCCGCAACCGGGAAGGCTTTTGTGGTCGTCGTGTGCAACCACACTCGCCATCCAAGGGAAACGTTAAACCACAGGATAAAGAGATGTCACTTAGTAATCGCCATCCAGTATTGAAGTCCGTGAAAAGCAGACATACCAGGCGGTGGGGACCGTCAGACGAAGCGGTATTTGTTCTCTGCGTCAAAGGCAGAAGAGGAGGCCATGCAGCCACAAAATTTATATATTGCAAAACAGCCGCAAGATAAAGCGGAGGAAAGGAGAGAGGGAAATGGAAAGAGCTCAATGCAATTGCGCTCAGGTGTGACGAACGCATGCGGCGAGACCGATGATGAGAATGCTTCGCTCCACTGTTCCTCCACACGCATTACGGCGGTGGTTCAGTTACTTCTTTGTGTCTTCTTTTGAAAAAGAGGTCCTGTCCTGCGTCTGACTAATTACCTGCTGCGTACGTAGCGCCGTAACACTCCGTCTGTTCTCTATCTTGATTTCAACGGTGAGCACACAGCTTTTGCACTACATGTCTTATTTCCGATTTCGTTGCTTCGTATCGCAATAGGCGCTCTTGGTATACAGAAAAGAAAAAACACGCTGCAGCAGCTTTGCCGAAACGCCTCAACAAGCGGGCTGGTCTACACAAATAGTAGTGCACAGTTGCGATCCAGTTATTTGTTGTCAACTGCAAAGCTATACGACAAGAACAGAAGACGCTGTATTTCAAAGAAGGAAAAGATGTAGACTTCCAGATGCCGACCTCGTTGACGCTGCCGAAAGCATAGGTTTAGAACGGCTATCGAGATCGTTCCGCCCCAGCCTAAGAGCCAGAAGTATGAATATTCGCAGTCGTCCGCACATCGTGTGACGCCGTCAAAAAAAGGGAATGTTTTGCTCAGATGCAAAGAGGAACGTCACCCTGACAAGGCGTCGCCGGCATCACATGCGGAAGTTCTCAATGAAAAACTAAAAAGGACAAGTAAGCGAGCAGCAGCAACAAAAGCACAGCTTTAAGGTGAGTTATTAAAAGAGCCCAAACACCTTTAAAGCAAGCTAAAGCCGGAAAAACAAAAAAAAAGAGAAACACCAAAGAACGCTCCTATACAAGGATTTGAAGAAAGCGACAGGAGAAGAACACAAAAAACGACGGTGCAACGTACGCCTTTCGTAGCGGCTGTGCAGTGATGGCCTTTCTCCCTCCGGCCGAGTGCGGTTTTCTCCGTTTCACGCATCACACTCTACGGCATACATGCCTTTGAATAGGCTGCAGTTGCTCAGGGAAGGAGAAGAGGCGATGGCAGTGAAGGGTAAAAAACCGCGAAGAGAAGAGTAATGTACAGGTGAGGCACGTGTGAAACTCAAAGGAGATTAACTTGCTTCCTGCTTTCTGCGTTCTCGCGGGTTCGCGTGCGTTGAGGGTGCTTCATCGTAGCTGGAAGCCCAGCTGGCTGACAAACCAATTTCCTTTTCCGCTCGCCCGTCCCTATAGTTCTCCGTTGAAGAAGTGGTGGTGTTGTTGCGGTTGAACACCTCCCGTAGAGAAAAAAAAAAGAAAAACACAACATGCGCCTTCACTCGTTGTAATGCTCCACGATAGCGTTCGCCGGAGTTGTGCTGCGGCTATCCGTCATCATCGCTATGGACGAGCTGCTGGATGTGGGCGGCAGTGAGTTGGTTGGGAAGAGCGTTTTCTCCGACATCAGCGTCGGAGAAGAGTTGTGAAGCACGCTATTCGTGCCGGCTGCCGGAGGCGACGATGCAGGACTGTGCCTTTGTCGTCGAGACGCTTCCTGGATGTTGATGTAGCCCTCACTTACAATTCCGATGAAAACTGTCGCCAGCGCGGCCCACTGCGACGACCGCACCTGATGCCCGTGAACGTAAATAGAAAGCAGCACACTGCCAACTTTTCGCAGCAGCGTCATGGCCGTCACCGTCAGCGTGCCGAAGACGCTGATGGTGTGAAATATAAAAAGCTGACCGGCGGCGCTGAGCACCGACATGAGCAGCACATCGTTGCGCGCTTCATCGCAGCGCGCGAGAAACCCAACGAAGTTGGAAAGATCATGAAAAGGAAGGAAGGACAGGCTAGCAGACGCCGCTCTGACACCCACCTGGTCGGGGCTACGTGCCACGGACGACAAGACAAGATCCACAAAGGAGCACAGCCACGCCCACGGCTGCTCGCCCCACTCCAACACGGCCAGCACCGACAACACACAAATGACGGAGACGAAGTTGGTCCGCATCATAAGCGACGCCCCGCTCCAGCGATGCCGCCTCACCAGCACATCTTGCGTCGAGTTGGTGTAGCCGTCCATCAGCAGGTTCACTATCATTAGCGCCACCCCGAGAACCGACAACGAAGACGTTGCCGGCGGATCCGTCGCCTTCGCGGGCTTTCCGCCCGGGCTTGAACTCCGATCCAGCAGCGCAAACGTGATCACACCACCGGTGATGCAAAAGCACGCGATGACTTTGCGTGCGGGGTAGCGGGTGTGATACCAGACGGAGCCGACAAGCATGACGGGCAGCATCTTGGCCATTTTGGCGGTCAGTGTAACAGGAAAAGAAAGACGGCGCATCGCAGCGTAGCCAAGCGAGGAGCCGAAGATGTTCGAATAGCCCATTGCCAGGAGCTCCGGTACGTCGCGTAGGGTTAGTTTCGTCTGACCTTGGAGATCGCTCCTCACACTTGTAGTGCGGGTGGTGACTGCGGAAGAAGTACCCGGACGCTTGGCGCACCTGCATACGACGTTGTGAAAGCCCAGTAACGTCGCACTCATCAAGAAACCCGCCAGCGTCTGCGTCAGCGTCATGCCGTACACGGTAGACAGAAAGACCCTCTTGTGCGCGGGAAGGACAACGTCATTGCTTGCTGCGTTCTCTTCCAAGATAAGATACGGCTTCTTGATGACTCGTTCTTGCTTTAAGGACCACCACCCAAAACACAGGTTGATGCCGACAAGACAAAAAAACATTTGGACAAGGAGAAAGATAACGCTGGAAGTTCCTGTGGCCTTTGCTGGCAAAGGCGCGTTGTGGCGGCCCGCCGCCGCATCTGAGACGTGTGGCCTCGCATCGCTTGACGGCAACTCTGTCTTGGTGAATCTCCTTCGAGGGACCATCCGCACTCCGCTCCTCCTCTTACTACTACGCAGCCTTTTTTTTTTTGGTTGTTGCTGAGATTCTTCTTGTGGTTGCTGCTCCAGCGGAGTACACAACAGGGTGTTCTACCAGGCAACTAAACAGTGAGGGACAAAAAGCACGTGTCAGCTCAAGGAAGAACGCTGCTCGAACAATGATGATAACTAACAAAGAAGGGAAAGCACGAATAGGGAAAACGTCGAGACAGGAGTGGTCGTCAACAGCGATTAAGTATGACAGAAAAGCTAATGCTTAAGAGCCACCCTGATGAATGAGGAAGTGAGGTGTACGCGTATGCGGATATGAGAAATAGGCGCAGCCGACTGTAGCTTCCACAAGACGGAAAAAAATGATAGGTGAAGAAAACCTAAATAACAGACAATGGTAGCCCAATTGAAGGGGGGAGGGGGGCTGCGAGTGTGCAATTGCGGATGCGCTCGTGAGAAAGACAATGGATACGCTGTGTATTTTTTATTATTATTCGCTTCAAAATTTGGGATCTGATTGACTGATGTCACACGATTGCAGTGCACGCAAACAATACAAAGAAAAAAGAGAGAAAAAGATTGTGCTGTTCCGCCCAAGATTCTTTGCTGAATGTTACTTTAGTTGTTTTGTTTTCCTTTCGGAAGGAAGAGAAATAGAGGGTAGAAGGAGTGAAAGCATGACAGAGATGGCGACCCGATTCTTTCGTTAGCGAGACGAAAAGCACGACTGTTTCGTGTCAAACATCGGAGAAAAAGTGCTGGATCTTTCGTATCAAACGAAGCGCATCGTCGTCAACGTAAAATAGCTCAACTGTACCTCAGCTGCCTCCAGAATGCGCCACGCTGAATCCTCAAGAAGACGGAAAACAAATTCGAAGCGCAAGGTGTGTGTGTGTGTGTGTGTGTGAGTGAGTGTTTTAGTTTTTCTATCACACTCAAATAGAAACAGCCTCACCGCCAACAACCTCAACATGTTTTTCTCCTTCTGTTCGTAAGGTGGCACCCACTCGACTGTCACAATGGAGGCACATCTTCGATTTTTTAAAACGACAAGGTGTCTAGAAGCTTGCAACGCGCAGCCAACGACTCGCTGCGACGACAATTGGTAATGCAAAGGGCAGACAACGCCACGCCACCTTCGCTCACGTTCAACATGAAGAATGGTACAGGGAAAAGAAAAGACAGTCTATGGAAGGAAGAAAGTAACAAGCACAGGAACAACACCAGAGCTAGAAAAACAAAAAGATGGGCCTCTATAATTTAACTTCAATGCCAAATTTCGGCTGCTCTCCTCGCTCAACATGCATGCCCAACGTAGCCGACACCGTTTCGTAAAAGAGAGAGGTGATGCCGGCTGCAAATCGGCCCGCGTTATTGTAGCCCACCTTCACCACCGTCGGCATCCGCGGCGTCCACGGAGTCATGTCCAGCACACCGGCCACCTCGAGATCCACCTCGCCGTCGTGCATTATCGAGGCGGCGCTCAGCCGCAGACGCTCGCGGTCGATCCCCACATTCACCCCGACCAGCGTCGGCAGACGGCCCCAATCGTACGAGGACGCAAGCCTCGTCGTTGCGGATGTGTTCACGGAGGTGTTGCCGCTCTCGTCTCGCTGCGGTGAGGAAAAAGGCGAGCTCTCTCGCACCAAGGTGTGACTCCCAAGCGTCTGCACCAGCAAAAAGCGAAACGTAAAGTAGGGGACAGCGAAGTAGGACGGTAGGGGAGCACTTACTGCCGCAGTGCCAGCCCCGCGCGAGGCGCGGTCATCGCCTATCGTCGCTGGCGGCGAGTCGTTGGAGTAGAGCAGGGAAGGCACGCAGGCCACACAAACCGCCGCCTCTTCGCCACCTGCTTCAGTCTTGCCCTCTGTGTCCTTGTCCGTCGGCTGCGCAGATGACGTGGAGGATGGTGAGGCAGACACAGCCCATTCGACGCCCGGGTAGGGCAATAACACGGAGGTGGCGCGGTCATTCTGCAGGGAGATGCCCATTAAAGTGTCACCAAGGTCCATCGGGAACTGCAGTCCACACGTCAGAGCCCACGGTGCCGTCCGTAGAGCAATGCGCCGGCCTTGCAAAGTCTGCGACCCAATTTCCCTTCGCCCTGCCCTATCCGATCCAGCCGTCGAAGAGGAGGTGGGGACGCGCTCCACACCGCCACCAAACGGGACGCACAGGGCGGCATCCACCGTGTGCTGGTACCTGCGCGATTTCTCCATTCGCAGCGTCCGCGCCAGCTCGTCCTCGTCGCTTTGCGAGCCGGAGTTTTGCAGCGCAGCCGCCGCCGCTTCCGTCGCGGTGGCGGTGGCGGCGGCGGAAAAGCTGCGTGTGAGCCGTACGGCGGCTGGGCCGATACGCGCGCCGAGACTCTGTCGGCTTGAATCCCAATCCGGCAGCGAGGCCTCGATTTCTAGCTGACCAAACGACCCAGAAAGCGCATCGGTGTTGTGTGCGGACGTACCACCCGCTGGACTGCGCGGGCGGTGCGAACTGGGCAACACCACTGGTCGGGTGTAGTCTGAAAAACGCAGTTGCGAAGGAGGCGGTTTCGTGACTGGAGGCGTAAATTTACTATCTGTTTTCTCCGGTGTGGGCGCTGCGGATTCCGTCGGCTGTTTGCGGTTTGCATCGCCCTTGCCATCCTCGGCTCTTTCTATGGGCTCCGCTGGGGAGCGAGTAGACGGCGGTGGTAACGGCACCCGCACGGCGGCGTCGAGCTGCAAGTGTCCGGTGGTGGAAAAGGTAAGGCTACCCGCGCCGGCATCTCTTGCCTGCACGGTGAAGTCGCCGTTTTCCTCCATAATCACCGAGGAGGAGGAGCTCACGTAGGAGGCTGGACCAAGCGGGGTGCCGATCGACGTCGTGGGCGTCGAGCTGGTGGGCACATAGGCAGACAGCGCTGACTGACGCGTGACGACGATGCGCTGTTCATCTGCGCCGGCGTACGGGGCAAAGTTGGCAAATGCGTTGCTGATGTTTTCTTCGATGTGCAGAGCGCGGAGCCCGCTTTGCCAGTATTCGCGCAGGCTCGGCATTGCTGCAAGTGCACCACTTCCGCTTTTTTTCTTCTTCTTCTCAGGAGAGACTTAGAGGGCCGTAACGATGCAGCGTCTAACAACCTTCTGTGTATGTACGTGTGTGTGGATGAAATGACGTGGCGATGCCTTGAAACACCCGAGAAGAACAGAATAAGAAAAGTGGATTACAAGAGCCGTAACAACTGCGCAGAGGAATGCAGCCCGAAGGAGACGCTCGCCGTACGTGTGCGCTTGCTTCGCATTGCGTGTGATTGCGCTACACCAAATTCAATACGTAGAAAACTCGCCCAGTATGGATCCTCAGAGGAAAATGAGAAGGAAATGCGGCTCCTCGGCGATGTAGTTTCGCAAACACTCGCTTCGAAGGTGAATTCATTGTCTCTTCGCCGATCTCACCACTTCGTTTCAAATACGCAGCGGAAACAACGGTGGCATGTTTTCTTTTTGAACTAAAAAAAAAACCCGCCTCAACGGGGGTATTATTTCCCCGTATTTCTTCTTTGTTGTCGCGATGTACCGCATATCCGTGTGTCTGTCCTTCTTTTTTCAAGAGCAAACAACAACGGCGAGTATAGGTTCCTCCATGCGGCGACGAAAAGGATAAACCCTCCAGTCGCAGATGCGAACCCTCACCATCAACAACAACAACAAAAAGCTGGGGAACACCGCGCAGTAACTGCCGCAGCTCTCCATCACCGCTCTGTTTGTGAAGGAATTTCAAAAAAAGAAAACGGCTTCGCTGCACTTCAACGTTGCGCCTCAGCATTTCGCACGGAGAGCATCACCACCCTCAAGTAAGCACAATTCGACGCGAACTCAACTGTGAGTTTGGGGAGATCTGAATGATGCACTGAACCCAGCAAAACAAAAATGCGACAAGATCCGAAATAAAAAGTATGTAAAGATCCAAGAAGAGAAAACAAGACGAACGGGTCGCACAATTGAAAAGTTGCACAAACAATAGGGTTCGCGCCGGCAGTGTACGTTGCCTTCTCTTATGTTGCTTACGGGTCCCACGTGGAGGTCTGGCTCGGTGACGGATCCTCCATGCTGTAGCCGTCCCTCCTGATCCGCGGTGTGAAATGGGTAAGTCGCTGCTCGGGATTTGTTTGGGATGCAAAACGGTCCACCGTGGGCGACGTCTGGGCTTGCTCCGACAGACGCGCCTTCTCCTCCTCCGCGACCCGCACGGTGGCCACGTAGCCCGCGTGCGCAGTCTCTGCCATCTCCTTCTTTGCCTTGTCGAACGCGTAGGCGTAGGTGCGGGCGTACTTACCGCCAAACTCCAACCCGTGTACGCCGCAAAACACGGCCGTCTGCGCCTGCTTCTGGAAGGTGCCAAGCTTCACCATGGAGAGCGTGCTGTGGCGCATCTGTGCGACTTGGATCGCCTCCGTGGCCGCCTCCAGCGCCTCCTCCACCGTCACGTCCGCCTCGCTGATTGGCGCGCCGAAGTGGAGAGAGGTAAGGGCGCCGGTGCCATCGACCACGCAGTCCGCCTGCACACGTGCGCGACCGCCGTGCGACGGCTGCACGCCAGGGGCGCTGGGCAAGACGGCGTAGTCCATGTGGTTTGTGCCGTGCGCCGGCAGCACCATGCAAAGCTCGGCGCCGTAGCGGTCCGCCGCCGGATACGCGGCGAAGTTCACAGAAGGGGCGCTCGTGCTGCCCGTGCGCACATCCACCACATCCAGCATCGGGTCCGCCAACCACCAGTCACGCTCCTCGGCCATCGCACGATGCAGGACGCGCCGTCGGGCCACGGCCCACTCCTCCTCTGTTGCCGCCGGGTGGTACAGCATCCAATGCGCGCGACAGTCCGCCTCCATACTGCGCTGTACATCGGTGATGCCGCTCTCACACTGGCTGCGGTGGTAGCGTGCGCCGCGCAGCGCAGCGGCGAGCTCCGCCACCGAGAACCGACCTTCCTTATCGAGCGACTGCCCCACCGCGAATTCGGCACTCAGCGGGACGTGCAGGCCGGCGTCGCGCAGGAAGGCGCAAAAAGGAATGAGATCAGCACCCGCCATGTCTCCCTCCACCGCCACCTCCTCTCCACTCCTCTGCGCCGCGCCGGTGTACTGGGCGTAGAGCTGTGGCAGGGCGTCGACAACGGAGAAGGCAGCTGAGACGCCCTCGCTGACGAGGGTCGGGTGCTCGGTCGGGTTCATCTCGCGGTCTATCCCGCGCACCATGACGCGGTACTCGCCATTCGGCAGCCGCGCCCCCGCGGCGTCGGTGTAGGGCAGGAAGACCTCCATCGACTGCGTCTCCGACAGCGGGACGTTGTCATCCAGCATCACCGCAAAGACCCACTCCCCTTCCTCGACTTCTGACGGTGGCTTCTCCTTCGTTGCCTCCGCGGGTTGACGTTGCTCCCGGGTCAGCTGCGTATAGAGTTTCTCGGCGTACGCAGACACCTCCTGCAGTGCGGGCGTCGAGTCCACCAGTGCCGTCACCGCCGCCGCCTCCTGCGCCGCGTCCACCTGCGCATGCTGCCGCTCTTCCGGTGTGCGACGACGCCACAGCGATATTTCCGCCCTGCCCGTGTGGCGCAGCGCCTCCCGTTGAGCCGCCTGCTCCGCCGTCAAAGAACGGTCCGTCAGGTGCAGCAGACGCAGCCTGTCCACCGCAGGAGTTGCCCAGTCGTAGGACACGACCTGATGCGATCCGAGGGGCCACATTGTCACCCCTTCGCCCGCCGCCCTCGTCTTTTTCGTCCCTTCGTCACGCAGCACGGCGTGTAAGTCAGCGGCGGTCGGCAGCAGCTCCGACGGCGGGGCCGTCACCTGCACTTCTTTCACTGCGCTGAGCAGCCGTTGGTTGTTGGCACGTGCGGCGGCGTAACGCGCACGGCGGCGCTGCCCAAACGGACGAGCCGCCTGTCTCACCACACGGCCCACAACCCCCTCCGCATGGGCAAGGTTTGCCGCGCTGAGCAGCAGCGGCTGCTGGGCAGCGTGGGCCATATCCACGCCGTAGTGCGAACACAGGCGCGCGAGGGAGCGGCGGAATGTGTAGGGGGAGGCGTAGTCGAGTTGGCTACTCAACGGCTTCGTGGAGTAGTACAGCTGCGCCGTCGCCGCCACTTCCTGCGTCGACGCGGCGTAGTGGAAGAGGAGCTGACGGCTGGCGGTGTGCGTGTGCTGCACGAACGAGGCAGCGCCAAACTTTGCATAATTCCAACGGCACCAGACGCTGTTGAAGTGCGGCTTCAGCACCGCCGCGCGAAGATCCAAACGGCTCCTCGCAACACTCTCCTCCAAACCGGCGAAGATTTCCCCGAGCGTAGCCTCGGTGTAGAGGCGGCGGCGCGCTGCGGCGGCAACACGCGCAATGGACTCCGACTCGAGCACATGCAGCGTTTCGAAAGCCTCCTGCCGCTCCGTGTTCAGCCAAAAATCGTGCAGCGTAAAGTCGTACGTACCGCCCTCGACCGGCTTGGTCAGCACTTCCTGTATGCGGGCGTGCTCGGTGGCCCACTCGGGCGTGGTGTCCAGCAGATCCTCCGGATCGAAGACGCCCTCCTCTACCCTACGCTGCTCCTTCTCCACCTCGTTCGCCACCCACGCGTCTTCTTCCGTTGTCGCGCTGCGGTGCGCACCCGTAGCCCACGACGCCGCCGCGGGGCTCAAACCAGCCTTCTGCTGTCGTGCGTAGCGCTCAAGCAGGATGGTGTGCACGCGCGTGTAGGCCGCGGCGACGTCCGCCAGCAGCTTCTTTTGAGCCGCCGCGTCCGCGGCGTGTGGGCGCAGCTTTTCTTGAAAGAACGTGTGCGCAGCGGCGCAGAGGGGCAGGTACCGCGCCGCCCACTTCTTTCTTGCCTCGGCGGTCTCATACACCCAGATGGACGGGACAGGTAGCGGGATGCGAGTGACGGTCTGCTGCTGAAAGGAGTCAAAAAACTGCACAAAGGCCTCCACGTTCGCCGTGCCGGACCACAGCGCCCGCTCCAGCTGTAAGTAGTTCGTCACTTTCACCTTGAGATGGCGCTCGCTGAGGTAGGCGACTTCGCGAAAAAACGTGTCGCTCTCCCACTTTGTGTTTGGATTGTCCGCCTCATCGAGAAAAAGTTCGGCGCCCGCGCCGCTCTCGCTGTTCGTCTTCATCACACCCACGTACTGCCGCGACGTGCGCCGCGACTGCCGCATCCGACGAAGGTACTTCGTCTCGAAGAAGCCGGACCACAGCTCCGCGCTCTCCCTCACGTGCTCCTCCGTGCCGGTCACCATGTTCGATCCCATGTAGTCCTCGACGTAGGCGAAGGGCGAAGAAGAGTGACTGCCACCCCCGGCAGTAGGACCCACGGTGTGCACGACAGGATCGTTCCCGAAACGCAGCCACAGCTCAAGAGCCCGAGAAAGCGACGGTACAGGAATGTGCTGTGCCCACAGCGCGCGGCACTCGTCGTGCGTGCGCAGCGCAGCGAGGTGATCCAAAGCGGGGTCGGGTGCATAAATGGGGGTGTAACGCCGCTGCGGAAAGAGCAGAGCGCCTACAGATGCGCAAATAAGGCCACGTCGTGCCAACCCACGATACCTTCTCGCGCAAAACATCTTGAGAAACTCTATCACAACCAACGAGTGCCAAACGCTGTATAAAACAAACAGAAAACAACAACAACAAAAAAGAAGTCCGAATGTGCACGGTGCTTCGAAGATCACTCCCTTTGCCACTGTGATGTTCAGGACTGCACCGTACGCCCGAAGCCACAGACCTATCGACTGCACCTAAGCTACGAGAAGGTGCACTGTATCCTTTATGCTTTATAGTGCGCGAAATTACGGCGGGCGTAACCAAAGCACAATCAAGAAAAAAAGAGGACAGTCAGCGATCGAGTAGTAGTAGTAGTAAGAAAGAGGAGAAAAGGCGAGCGTGAAGCAAAAGAGACATTCATTGAAGCACCCACGATAGTGGCCGCTTTCGACTCAACTCCAGTGCATGTCTAATCCCTTTTTTCAGAACAGGAAATACTCATTAAAAAAGAAAGGCTGTTCTTCGGGCGAAAGTAGCATTTGGTTTGCACAGAAGCCTTGTGCGTGCACACTGCCGACGCGTGACATGGGAAGTTCAGCCCTATTTGTAATATCTGCTTGCCGGTGACCTCGCAGCCAAAGTGATCAGCATCCGTGTGGAGGGTTGCGTTGCTTTTGTTTCTTTCCATTTGTGTAACCTAAACACCAACGCAGCACCGCACATCATTACAAATACTTCCACAAGATTAAATCAGCCGTTCCATGCGGCTGCAAAAGGAGACCAATAAATAAATAAATATATATACTGTTGCAGAGGGGTACGCACGCTAACATGAGAGAAAAATGAATTATTTTGACCTACCACTACCGTCACTCCCGACACAACAACAACTCGGAAAGATTCAAAGAAAGACAGAAAACGCAATAGAGCGGCGGAGCATTGACCGTCAAACGACAGCCATCTTAATGAAAAAAAAAGGAAATCAAAAATGAGACGAATCATTTTTTCTTTTCGCTCGATGACGAGATATCCAAAAAAAAAGGAGTCGCATCGAAATACTCCAACCATCATCGTCAGTCCGCGCAGATCGCTTTCAAAACAGAGAGAAAAAACCCGTTAGTAAAGAGCCAAAAAAAAAAGGAATAGAACCCAACACCAGAAGAAAAAGGAGGGTCTTATTCATGGACCGCAACGGTGTGCAGCACACCGCAGCACGATGCTGTAAACACTAGCTCGCCGGTGTTGTTCGACATCACATGTGAGTAGCCCCTGTCGGACTCTCGCATATCCAGCGGTTCCAGCGTGTCCAGGGAAACCGTTATGAGGCCGCGCCAGGTGGCAGCCACCGCCCGCTTGCCTGTAATTAAGGTAACATCGACAATGGGGTAGTCAAGTTCATGTCGCACCTGCGGCGCTTCCATCGAGCGAAGGTCCCACACCAGCATGGAGCCATCCATGGCGGTTGACACAATGTTGTAGCCCGTCGTGCACATCGCCGTGATGGTGCTGTTGTGGGTGGGTGCCCCAGTGCAGAGAGCTGTGTTCACTACAGGGCTGTCCTCACGCGATCGCGGATCCCACAGCTTAACGGCCGCATCGCGACCACCCGACAGCAGCACGTAGCTGGCCTCGTCCAGTACATTCAGCGCGGTGATGTAGTCGTCGTGTGCACTGAGGATTTGCCGCAGGACGGTGCCGCAGGCCACATCCACAAAACTAAGACGATGGGGGGACGCCATGGCAGCAGCAGCAGCATCCGCAGAAGGCGTGGCCCGCAGGACCGCGCTCTCCCCCACTGCCACGATGGAGTTGCGGAAGGCTGTAATGGCGGTGAGCGCCACGCCGGCAGGTCGCATGATCACCTCGCCCTTATTCCATCGAATAGAGTTCGCATTGCAAGTGATTACAATAATGGCCCCCACGCCGGCCCCGTTGGGTGCCTCGCGGCGGGTCGCCGACGGCGTCGTGTTGCCCTTCGCAAAAGTGCTCGCTTTGTTGATGTTCTCCGCTGCATCGGAGTCCGTTGAGCCCGTCGCCGCCCTCGCCTCGACACCCGTGCAGTAGGGCAAGTACGGCTTGCGAGACTTGTAGGGCATGCTCGCAATCGCAAGGTACTGCCCATCGATCCTCTGCCCCGCCATGCCCACGGGCACGCAGTCGAGCGGCAGCGGTACCACCCCGCGTGGGCGAACGGCGGGGCGAGGGACGGCAAAGAGACCGCCGTGCGGCTTTTCCCGCACCATCTGCGGCGCGCCCCAAAGCACCACGGAGCCGTTCATGTGGCCGGAGATCAGTTCGTCCCGCACGCCGAAGTACGACAGACACGTCACTGGGCAGTTTCCTCGGTGAAAGTTGCTCTCGAGCTCGAGGCAGCCGTACAGCACCGGCTCTTTGCGTTGCCAGAGCCGCGTGATGAGCGCCACATCCACCTCGTATTTGCGGTTGCGCGCGTAAACTTCGTGCAGTCGCTGCGCGATGCGTGGTACGCCCTCTAGCGCTGCCCGCACACCCTTGTCAGCGTTTACACTGCTCAGACCTAAGGCGATCAGGCGCAACGCCGCCGAGACCATCGTTTCGTGTTGGAGGAAGGTGTCTATCACAGCGGCAAGCTCCATGCTGCGCACAAGACCGAGGTTCATCATGGAGGTGAATTTCTTTCCGAACGTATCCACATCCGCGCTGCGACGGTGATCCCGCACCAGACGCTCTAGTAGGTACTTCAAAATGCTGTAGCGCAGCGTTAGCGCCTCTTGCCGTGGGAGATGAAGCAACACTCTGAACTCATCCTGGGATACAATAGCGAACGTTAAACCCTGAATCGCAGCGCGCAGATCCGCCGTGTCACTCTGCCTCTTATCAATGATCTTGCATATGTTCGCCGCAGCACTTTTTACATCGCTGCCAGTAAAGACATCTACAGCGTAGCTACGGCCGTAATCCATGTCCTGCAGACTGTGCATAGTGTAGCTAACGCTGTCGTCATCACCGTCGCAGCAAATGGTGGCTAAAAGGTACCCCAGCTCATCCAGTTCATCGTCTACGTCCTGCGCCGGATCCCACTGCACAGACCCGTCCTCGCTCGTGATTGTGTCGCGCCGCCCGCACCCCGTGAGAGTGAGCTCCACTTCTACGTGGCTGAAGCGGCTCAATCTATCACAAGCACCAGCAGCGGCTGCCGCTGTCGTGGTTACGGGAGGCGCACCATGCCCGTCATGCGCCGTCTCCAACAACCCCACTGCGGCATTTGCCGCCGAGGCGGATGTACCGTCATTGCCACGCGCCGCAGCATCAGGAGCAGCCCCTTGCGTCGAAAGCATCGTTGCAACAGACGTCGTGAAAGCCTTAAAGGATGGACTCACCAAGGAAGCGCCGAAAGAAGACGCGTTGTCCGCCGTAACCGGCGAAACCGAACCTCCGCTCAGCGCAACACTCCCCCCTGCGCCAGCAGCGGCGACGGCTGCGCTCATCGGTGTATTGATCCCTGCTAGAGGAGCGGGAGGAGTTGCCATGCTCACGCTTGATGGGTTAACGCTGCCACCCAGCGTCATAACGCCCACCGGTGCCACAGCAGCGGAAACGCTAGCGTTGGACGACGATGGAGGTGGTGGGGGTGGGGGTGGATTGGAGTTGCTGGCGTGCACACCAAGCGAAGGAGCCGGTGGTGGCGGCGGCGCCCCGGTCGCCTCTGCGATCAACGTCGCTGCTGATCGCGGGGCCGGCACCGCCGGTCCACCAACGCCAGCTGGACAGTTTGCATTCATCACAACGCCCGGGCCGTTTGCAGAGAGCTGGGAGGAGCTGGTCGGAAACATCACCGCACCGGGGTTGAGCATCGAATTGGCTACAAACCGTAATGGTTGCTGTGACGGCCGTTGTTGGGGTGGCCGTTGCTGCTGCGACGGCGGCTGCAGTTGCTGCTGTCGGGACTGCGATGGAGGACCAGCGTAGGACAGCATGCCGCCACCGTTGCCACCGGAGATCATGCTACCAGGTGAGCCCGAGCCATGCTGCGACAGCATGCCTTCTGCCATGCCATTGTTGTTGCTACTGCTATGGCTGTGGTTGCTTGGGTGGCCTAACATGCCAGTCACCGACGCACCTGGCGCGTGTGCACCAGGGGCGGTTGAGAAGGCAAAGTAATGGTTGCTCATTCGGACTAGAGAAACTAAAGACGAGAAAGAGAAGAAAAAACAGAGAAAAAAAAAGGTGAGATGAAGAAGTGAACAAATATTCGTTTTGTCGCACGTGAAGAGGAAACTCAAAGGGAGAAGTGTCGCTTGTACACGACACAAATAATAAATGAAAGGCGAAAGCGGTGAAACGCAGTGCTCAGAAGAAAACAAAGCAGCTCTGGAAATGATGCACACAAACACACACGCAAAAGGGAAAAAAACGGCCCTTGAGAGTGGGTAGGAAATGGGAAGTGGAAGGGATCGTCGAAGTGCACCGCAGATTTCGTTCAGCTGTTGTGTGTGTGCTTCAGATCGCCGGACACGTTCAAAGCCGCGCAGAACGCAGCATCAAGAGTACCTTCAAAGATGAAGAAAAACATGGCACATCTTTCCTCTGCCTCTTCCGCGCACAGCCAAACGACAAAAACAGAAACAGAGCGCCATGCTCCCCCATTCCATCACCAGCGCTTCGACAACAAACGGGAGAACGAAAACATGTCTACCCTATATGCGGGCGCAACACAGAACATCTGCTCTTCACGCATTCCTCACACAGCTTCGTTAAATTCAATTAGCTTTTGGAATTCATTAAGCCTTAAGACACTCTCATTGGTACCTGCGTGCCTGGTTTCGGAAGGAAAAAAAAAAAGAAGAAGAAACACGTCCAAAAATGTGTCGAATCAAAACAGTAACAACAGTGAATTCATAAGATCAACCACTTGCACAAGCACACTCAAGTGTTACACCCTCCCAGAAAACAAAAACCTGCTCACTCACCACTTGCAACCCAGTAGCTAGACAACGCTTTGAGTTGATCTTCCATTGTTGCTGCTGTGATGAATGCTGGCTGCGCAGTGTATTACTCTTCACGGCGTGCGCGGCGCTGGCGGGTTGTGGTGCCCATCGGTGCGGCGGCGTTGGCGTCACCGCTGGCGGCAGCCTCGGCAGCCCGCTCTTTTGCAATTCGGTTGGCACTTCGTGTTAGGAGGAAAAGGACGACGCTGATGAAGGCAAACATGAAAGCCACCATGTAGTAGTAGACGTCCATTTTTTCTTTCGGGAGAGTTTGAAACTGTCAGATAATTGCTCGTTTTTTCTTGTCTTCGTTGGGTGTGATATACATGCATTTATGTGTGGGTGTTTTGGGAGGCGGGGAAGACAAAACAGTAAAACAGAAGCAGAAGGAGAACCGTCAGGACGACATGTGCAGTGCAAGGCTCGTGAAAAAAAAAAACACCTAGAAGACAGTCACACCGAGGAAATTGCGTGTCAGTCTGTCCGCCTGGGGGGAGAAAGGGATACATTTCCGAACTGGACACGACCCCATCACACCGAAGTGCACGATTGCGGCACCTCACGTAGCCGTGAAACAGCAACATCAATTGAATCAACAAGAGAGCCACCTACTCTGCCGATCAGCAAAACAAATTACCGTCCTCTTCGTGGAGAAGTAAATCATAAGTGTTTTGTCTTTTTTGTAGAATTTGGTCTCTCATCTGATTGAGAAAGAACACTTAAAGCAAATTGTTCGGGCACGCGCACAAACAGGCACCGCCGTTGCATCGATTACTGTGGCACGTCTTCCAGCCAGTTGTTCAGCATCGCCACCTCCACCATGGCACGGACACAGCGGTCCGACCAGTGATTCAAGGTGGGTGCCCACACCGGCATCCGCCGCATCTCCGTCTGCACCGACTCCACACTCGTGTTGCTGAACTTCGCTAAGGCACACAGCGCCGCCGCAGCCGTCTGCGACAGCTCCGCCTCGCTGGGGATGAACACCCGCAGCGCGGATTTCAGTTTCAACGGTTTTGAACCCCTTTTCTCTTCCGACGAGTTGTTCTCTAAATTCGCCACGTTTGCGTGCGGTGGACACGCCGTGGCCGCGGCAGACTCCACCGTCATCGCCTCAGCTTGCGGCGCACCTTCCATCCTCGACGCGTTCGCTACGCCAGAGTGCGCCGCATTCGAGTTCCTCACATTCCCCAACGCTGTATGGCCTGCCAGAGCGTGGCGCCTTGGGGACAACGACGTTGACGGCTTCTCCACATCCACAAGCGCGTCTGTCGCGTGCACCGCATTTGATGGTGGGGTCCGAGTGGCGGTAGAGAGCAAGGTAGGGAGGCTGTGGGGGAGCTGATCCGAATGCGCTATATCTGTGGTGACAGCAGGAGACGACGACGACGTGACGGAGGTGGCGGAGGAGGTACGAGAGGCGGACGGACTGCCGGGACGGTCGTCGCGGTGGTGTTGACCACGCAGCATCAGGGACTTCTTCTGGAAGGAGACGGGCGATGAGGCGTGCTGAGACGCCGTTCGATTGCTGGTTGTGCTGGTGGACGACGACGACGACGACAGGCTGGCGGCGGCGGTATGTCGACCAGTTTTACCTGTGACGCTGGCGCGTGCTAGACGAGCATCGTAGCTGCTACTGGAAGTACGGCTGCTGCTGCTACTGCTGTCAGTGCTGCTCGACGCGAACGACGCGTTCGACTCATCATCCTCAACACTGTTGTGCTCCGAGAGGAGACCGACGTAGTCTCGTTGGTGGTGAAGGGGTTGAGAATGGGCATGTTGCAGGTACGACGAATCCGCCGGTGGTGGTAAACCATCTACGGGAGTGGGCTGGGTATGGTGGCTGCCCATTCGGCGCGGCACCGGTTCACCACCTCGGTCCGCGCTCCGGACGGCTGGGTGAAGGACGGGGGACGTGGGGAGAGAGCTGGTTAGGTTCATCTGCAGCCTCCCGGCCGCCCCGACGCAGACGGTGTGCTTCAGCGAGCAGGACAGGACGTAGCTGGTGGACACGGAGGAGGCGTGGGTGCCAGGGCTGCTGCCCACGCCAAATCCAACACCACTCCCTGACCCACACGCAGTCGAGCCGGACGGCGGCGGCGGCCGCGGCACGGAGGACGCGCCGGAGAGCACACAGGGAGTTGCGTGATAGGGCTCGGCGGGTTGCTGCGGCTGCGCCAAAGGGGCGTGTGGGTCGTTGTGGAAGCCTGACCTGGGTGCAGCCGAAGACGACTGAGAAACGGCCACAGCCGCCAGCAACCAGGTCGGGTGGTCTGGCGGAGACTGATGTGTAGCTCCTCCTCCTTCTCTCCCACCGTCGCTCTTTGCGATGGCACCTGGTGAGGCTCGTGCGCTGTCCCCGGTCGAGACGGGGAGGTAAGGTGAAGGAAGTGGCGTCTTTGCAGGGGAGTGCGCAGACTTGAGTTCTTGGGTACTGGATGGGTTGTTGAGCGACACCGTAGTCGCCGCCTTCTCACCGGTTGTGTTCTCCACCGTCAGCGGTTGCGAAGCGCGTTGTAGTGAGCGTGGCGCCGCACCTCCAGTTTCCTTGGATAGTTGCTGTTGTTCTGATTGCTCGCAGTGAGCCCTGTACTGCACCGCTGCTCTGCGATGGCACGCCTGCCGTTTCAACCGCCGCTGCTGCCGCTCGATCCACGCCACGTGGAGGAGGCGATGCGCCAATATCTGCCGCGCCGGGTGGTGCACGTTGCGCAGAACGCGTTGCAGTGTTTGCGTGGCACTGTAAAGGGTGGACGCTGCCCAGGGTCGGTAGATCTTGATGAGATGACACAGCTCCAGGTGCAGCAGCGCCTCGACCACGATACCCGTCGTGGCCACCCACGTCACGGGGAGCTCTACTGAAATGAGCGGCGGCGGCGGAGTCGTTGCTGCTGCTGTGGTGTTGTTGGCCGCGGCAAAGGCGGCCGACGAAGGACTGTTCTTGGAAGAAGCTCCACCGGCACCAGCTGATACCGTGGCAGACGCGTCTGCAGGCTCAGGCGTCGACAGCGCAACTCGCACATTGACGTAGCTCGGCGGTGAGGCTTGCCCATCGCTGATCGCAGCTGCTGCGGCCGCCGCGGCAGCAGAGGTGGGAACAGAGTAGCGGACACCAGGCAGTAGAGTAAGCGATGGTCGAGCATCGATAGGGACCGCTACCACACGCGCACGAGCAGGAGAGGCCACCGACGTGCCCCGTGGCGGAAGGGAGTCTTTTAATGGTGCTTTTGTGTTGTTGGGGTTGTTTGCTCTCTTCGCGGCATTTTGCCCATCTCCGGGACTGGTACCAGCTGCGCGGTTACCTTGCGGTGCACCCGTGAGCTTCATCGTGACAGATCCGTTACCCGTGTTGCTACCGCCCCTATTACTACTCACCCTGTCAGAGATGCCGTCGGACTTGCTGTGCGCCGCGTTGCGTGCTGCCGGGCCTGACGCCGTGCGCTCTCCAGCTACCTCGCTGCCCTTTCCGTTGGCCGCCTCCGCCGCAGCGATAGCGCTACTCCGCCGCAGCGCCTCTGCGTACACCTCGGCCAGCGAGGTCGTCGTGCCCATCGCGACATCAAACACTAGATCAGCGACGGTGCGCACGCCGTCCACCAGGCGGAACACGTGATGCACCGCCATGTCCATCCACTCCATCATTGTCGGGTCATAGGGGACAATCGGGACGGGGACGTGGTCAAAGTGCAGCAGACGCGCCGCCTGCAGCGGGGCCATGCGACGTACGTGGAAGCTGAGACGGTCGGAGAGGTGTACGACGCTGACATCGCCGCGTTGCTGCTGTTGCGGCGGCAGCGGTTGCGATGCCGGAGACGAGAAGGAAGCTGGTGAGGTCACGCCCGTGGTAAATAAGAAAGCAGACGACGGGGTTGCCTTTGCGAGGGGGCCGCCTCCGCCCCCGCGAACCCCCTCCCAGGATCCACCGCGGCCGCTACCGGGGAGCATCGCAGTGAGAGGAGAGTACGGCTGTCGGGTACCGGCATGACGCACCCTCCTTGGCGGAGAAGAGAAGGTGGGTCTGGTCGCGACGCCCTGGCGGCCCATCAGTGCATTGCCTCCCCTTCCCCCTCCCGCACCATACGCAGGTCTCGAGGCGGGTGACACACTCCGCGATCCACACAATCCCCTCCCTGGCGTTGCTGTGGTGGCAGAGCCGGTGTGGACCGAGCCGTCTGCGTCGTCCTCGCCGTCGCCCTCGCTGCTGCAACGCAGGCAGCGGTAGAGCTCCTCCACCAGTTCCGAGAGGGGCGTCCACTGCGGCGCGGTGGTGGGCGTGATAAACGCATTCAGTGGGTTCGCGTTGTGCACGCCACGACCACCACCGCTGCCATCGTTGGAGCGGTACTGCGAGTTGAAGCTGCCATTCAGCGTCGACGCGACCCCGCCCGCCGCGGAGGGCGAAGTGTGCACACGGTGCTTTGAAAAGGGAAAGCCGGCGGCAGACGGAAAAGGGCCGGACACCCCGCCTGCGCCACTCAACGCCATTACGGAAGTCATGGGTGACAGCGCCGTGGTCGCGGTGCTGGTCGAGTCGCCGAAGGCGGCTGACGGGGACGAGGAGGTGGCGATAGGGAAGGCACCACCGCCGCCTTGGCTCGCTGCTCGACTGCGAAGAGGCAGCGACGAGGGCGGGGTGGCCGTCAGCGTGTCGACGTTCGTGCAGGCAGGGGAGACGGCGCTGGCCGATGACGTCTCTGCGTTGTCGCCGCTCCCACCACTGCTGCTGTGTGCCGCATTGGCTGCTGCCGCTGTCGTTGCTGCGGTGGCGGGGCTCGCCGCGTGGCCAGCCTCGTGCGGGGGTGGCGAGAAAGCTGTGCCGAAGCGCGACGATGGCGTGGTGCCGGCAGTGGTTCTGCTTGTCGCAATGTACGAAGGCGATCCTGAAGTGCCGATGCTGCTCGCCGTGATAGGCGCTGTTTCTGTGGCGTGGGTATTCGCCACTATTTTTGCATGTGCAGGGATCGCGTCGGCACTTGGAACATCAGTATCGGTTTTTCGCGCGCTGTCAAAGCGGTACGCACGTGATTTGTCGTTGGCCGTTGCATCCGCGGGGTCCGCCTCGGTGCCGGATGTAGTCGGCGGCTGCGGAGACATCAAAGATATGGGCGTGTCGCGCTCTGCCGATTCTGCCACGGAGGCTTCATTCTGGTTCGTATTTGTGCAGTATCTGGCCACGGACACGACGGACGTGGCGGAGACGCCGCGCTCCACCAAGGCCAAGTGATAGATGTCCGGTCGCGCCGTCGACTCATTCACCAGACGCCGTCGGCCAAAGCGAAAGTTTTTTTGTGCTCCGCCGCTGACGGCCACTGTCGTTGTCATCCCTGTTGTTGCGGTACCTGTTTCTTTTGTAAGAGTTCCTCCAACGGTCTCCCCCTCGTCCTCCTCATCTTCCGCCTCCTCAGCTCCCATTGCCCTGTTCAATGCACCACGCGGCGAACCCACCGCAGCAGCAACAGCAGCGGCGCTTGTCATCACCGCTGGCGCGGTCGCGGCTAATGCTGGAGAGAAAAGAGACGACTCGGGCTGCCGCGGCGCCGGCGGCCGTCGCGGTGACGGAGCAGCCTGCAGCAGCAGCAGCCCACGGCTCATGTACGCGTACTTCACCTCCGCCTCGCGCAGCTCCTCGGCGATGTTGGTCAGGACGACGCTGTAAGGGCGGACAAGTTGATGCAGCAGACCAGCACCAATTGTCATGCGTTTCTTATCGACGCAGAAGACCAAACAGAGGGAGTAGCGAAGGGTCTTGCGCTGATAGTGCTCGCCAGGAATGTCCTCAGCGTAGTAGAGAAAGAGCAGGCCCGATTCGGCGGGGTAGAGCCACAGCACGCGTCGACAAAACTCCGATCGGGGGACGAAGACGTCGCTGTAGCTGTTGATCCTGCCATTCTCCGCCGCCACTCCAGCCGGTGACACACTCATAGCGGCTGGTGCGGCATAGACACCACGACTACTACCGCCACCACTGCCAGTACCTCCTGCAATACCGTACGGGGGATGGCGGTGATGCGGCGGCGGCGGCAGCGGCTCAGCATTTGCGCCTTCCGACGCGTGGCGTGACGCGGCAGCGAAGGGCTCCACGACTACTCCCGGATCGGCAAAGGAAGCCGTAATGGGCGGCGTGTGAAGGGGGGTCGTCAGCGACGACAGGGACGAACTGGAAAGAAAGGCACTCGTTGTCGTCGTGGCCTGTCTGCTGCCGCTACCGTTTATACCTGCTGCACCGCCTCGGGGAGCAGAAAGTGTGGAAGCTCGCGGAAGTGGTTGAGGTGGCGCGTTGCTGTTGCTGATGCCGTCGACGTTGTTTTCGTCGTCAACGGCGCCAGCACCGTCGGCCATCCACGCAACACGAGAGCCTCCATCGTGCGCGCCCGGTGTGGTGCCAGTGTTCGACCGCAGCGACGCAACTGCAGCCGCAACCGCAGCGGCAGACGCAGACGCACCACCAGCAGCAGCAGTATTGCTCGACATACTGACGTTGGTTACCCCCGTAAACGAGCCAACCATCGGCATCACACTAGGGAGGGTCTGCTGCGACTCACTTAGGTTCGTTTGCGGTGAAATGGCAAAGATCGTGTTGCTGTCCTCCGAGACACTCGCGTTGTTTGTTGGCGCACTGGTCCCCATCGCGAAGCTGCGGGCGTCGTCCAGTGGGGTGGCGGTGGTGGAGGCATCGGCCAACCCGAGTAGATGCCGCTGGGCGAGTAAGGAGGAGGAAATCATGCGTACGGTGGTGGGTGCACCCGTCGCGGCAGCGGCAGTGGAGATGATGCTGCCGCCCACACGTGTGACGGAGTTCGTCGGGGATGAGGGGCCAGCGGATGTTGCATTTGTCGCCATCGCAAGAGGAGGGGTCATTGTGCCGCACTGTGGGGCGTAAGCTGCTGCGCCACGCGCCCCAAGCAACGGTGAGGTGCTCAAAAAAGGTCGCAGCCCGCCGCACAGGGAGCCGCCGTGTGGGAGCGAGGACGGTGCAAACCCATCGACAGTGTTAGTAGCTGTAGCACTGGCGTTTGCTTGGCGATAGGTAGTGCTTGGGGAGGTGCCACAGCAGCCATCCCGCGCATAAGCATCCGGCCTTCGCTGCAACGAGGCCGTGGTGTGGGGTGCGATGCCGTGACTTGCGCTCGTAGTGGAGGCCGCCACTCCGGTTGTGGATGCTCCGGCTGGCGGTTGGAGGAACGACCGAATCACCTCTGGCGGGTTAGCCGGAGCACAGCTGTGGATGTACGGCCCTTTCACAACATCCAGGGCAAAGAGCAGCACGCATTCTAGTCGAAAAAGCGGGTCATTGGAACTGGACATTGCGTGGCGACCACCTCCAGCGAGAAAGGCGAAAATAGACGAAAGAAAGTATGAGCGCGGTAGTGAGACAGAGGAGGCGTAAGCACAAAAGTAGAACTGCCACCAGCCTTGAAAAGAGGAAACAAAGAAAGGGAAAAAAAAAAATTAAGAGGCTTGCTTGCTCTTGACTGATTCGACTCAGCCTTGTGCAGCAAATTCGGGCTCAAATATGTTATCCTTTTACTCTTCCTCTTCCTCTTCCTCTCTCTATCTCTATCTGGCTCTTGCGATAACGGAAGGAGACAATAAAAATGCAGGTGAGCTGGTTGTTTCCGCTTCTTTTTCTTCCTTTTACCTCCCGGTGCGCGGCAACGCAGGTGTGTAAGAGAGAAAAGCATCGCATTTGTTGATGTGAATGGAGAACATGCAACGAGGTAAAAAAAAATAAAAAGAGAAATGGTAGAAGCAGGGAGAAAAGCTTGGAAGGAGAGCAAGGTGTCCAGCACGCATGACGATGAAAAGAAAGTAGGCAATGCTTTGATGTTGTTGTTGTTGTTTTTCCTCCAAACCTTTGATCGAAAGCGTCAACGCAGCGGAACCGCTTTTTGCTCTTGTCTATCATTTCAGCCCAGCATCGAATAAAGAAGCTGCGAATTTTTCTTTCTTTTCGATGATGTGAGCATAAGAGTCTCTAGCACTGCAAACCCAACAAAGCCAAGTACACAAACAAACGTGTTTCGTAGCACGGGGTGGGCTGTGGGCGGTGTTTCGAATAATCGCTGAATGCTGCCCGGTACTGTCGTCAGCGTGTTTGGGCCGACTCTCGCAGTAAATACAGTCAGAGGAGACGGAAAGCGCGCCTACAGTACAAAGAAAGAACAAAGGCATACTGTGTTGGAAAATGCAAAAAAAAAGAGCGGAAACGACAGTACAAGGTACAATGAAAAAAGGAAAGAGGCGGGAGAATATTGGAGGAAGTAATGTTGCGTTTTATTTCAAGAAAAAAAGGTCCGCCTCCAACACGAAATAATAATTTTACAGGTTCGGTTACTTAACAACTGGAAGCAAAAAAAACGAACGCAACGTCATAAGACCATCGTGGGGAAAGATGGATTAAAGGAGAAAAAAAAAGAAAAGCAAAGGTGTTATTGGAAATTCCTCGCGGGGAGAGAGAAGAGAGACATAAAAATGGTGACCGTGTATGCTACCACCGTAAATGCGCCAGCGAACTACTAAGTGCATCGGTTGCAAAGTTGCAAAACTCAAAAAAAAAAAGAGAGAAAGAGAGAGCTCCGGAAAAAAAAATGTGTTCGTTAACATCTGAACCGGACATATGCATTAACGGTGAAAAAAGAAAAGAAAGGATAGCAATTTGGTTCAACAACAATAGTAATAATACAGTGTCACCTAAGTTGCGAGAAACGACGATCGCTGCGTTTCCGCTCCCTTCTGTCCAACTCCTCCTCGTCTTCGTCGTCCTCGCTCAAGGGCGTCTTCACAACGACAGTGGGATCCTGATGACTCTCCTCACCTAATGACACGTCTGTGAGCTGCCTCCGCACGTCGCGCAGACGCGTGTTGCCATCCCGCACGTGCTCCAGCAACTCCGAGTTTAGCCGCCTTGCCTCACTTCGCTGCTTTTGCAAGCGCAGTTTCTCGCTGCGCACCTTGCCGAGCCAGGTGGTCGAATCATCCTCGAGGCCTTTCTCCAGCAACAAGTACAACTCCGGCTCCTTCTCCTGCCACTCCATCAGCCGACGCTCCAGTGCATTGTAGCGAAGACGCAGCTGGTCCAGCTCCGACTGTAGTGTGAGGTAGCGGTGCGACACCAGTTCCTCCTGCCGGCGAAGCTCCTCGCACGACTCACGCGCAGTGATAAGCTCCTCCTCCTGCGTGTGTCGCGCCGCTTCGGCACGCTGCGCGGATTGCCGGCACAGGTCCGCCATCGCCGTCTCCTCCTCTAACGCGTGCCGCAGCGTGTGCATCATCGTCTGCTGCTGTTTGATGCGAGATTCATAGTCGCGGGTGATGGTGCTGATCTCGTGCAGCAGCTGCACACTCGACTCGCTGTGGCGCGACTCCGATTGCTGTAGAGTCTGTTCATAACGGGCAAGCTGAGCAGCGGCGTCTTGCCTTTCGGATTTGATCTGCTCCAGCTGCGCGCGAAGGGCGCCGAGTTCTACGCGGTAGTCTTCGCATTGTTGCTCAAGGGCGGCCTTCGCCTCGAGGGCGGTCTGCGCCGCACGAGCCTTGTTCGTCAGTGCAGCCTTGTCGAGTTGAACAGCGGCAGAGGCACTCTGCAGGGGTAGTTGTTGTTGCTGTGCATCGTCACCTTCCTTCGCTCCGGCGGCCCCTCCGTCCAGCGGACTGCTCAGCACCGTCGACGAAGAGCCCGGTAAGAACAGATCCTGCACCTCCGCGGCAACTCGCTCCGCCTCCGCGCAGCGACCTTGCCAAGAGCGTAGCTGTTCCTGTAAGCTGGCCACCTTCGAAATGAGCGAATCACGAACGCCTTCCAACTCCGAATTCACCTCCTCCAACGCAGCGACCTTTCGATCGAGACGCAGTCGATCCATCACTGCCACCTGCAGCGCCGCGGTGTCCGTCTGATGCCGTGACACCTCCTCCTCGTACTCCGTCTCTGCAGCCTCCACCTTCTGCTTGTAGAAGACCAACTCTTCCCGCAACGTTCTCTGCGACTCCTCTGCCTCTCCCAGTTTTTCCGCCAGAGCACTAGCGGCTAGCTGTCGTAGGCGACCGCGTTGAGAGAAGAAGCGGAGAACGCCGTGCATGCACTCCAGCTCCACCGCCGCCCGATCCTGTGCTTCTTCGCTCTGACATGCATACAGCAGCTGGACAGACAACACTCTCGCCGTCTCCGCTTCCGCCTCAGCAGCGTGCTTCTCGGAAACCGTTGCTCGCGCGCGCGCGGTGGTAGCGCCGTGCTGAGACGGCACTCTACCCGCATCCTGTGAAGAGACCCCACCCTCTAACCCATCACCGCCGTCTGCGTGGGGCAACCTCGCAGCATCGCTGCTGAGCTGCCCAGATAGCACCGCGGACGACTCCGTGCCGGCCGCCGGAGCGCGCTGCGCACGCTGGCCGGTGAAGCGCTGCAGGTGTTGCAGCTGTGCGATGAAGCGCTGCATCAACTCATTCCGATAGCGGTGATAACGCATGCGCACGTAGTAGCGCTCCGCATTCTCTGTTTCTTCAAGAAGTAGCTGCTCTAGCTCGCAGGTGTCCGCCGCCCGCTCCGCCACGGTGCGCTTCAGCGCCGACCGCTCCTGCTCGACCTGCGCCACACGCAATAGCAGCTCGACGTTGCGCTGCTTCTCGCCGAGGTAGTCCGTGCGGGCTTGGTGCAGCTGCGCGGTGGCGGTGGTGTTCGCGGCGTTCGTCGCCTCCAGCGCATCCTCCACGGCGCGTGATTGGGCAGACTCCTTCGCACTGCCCATCTTAATGGCGGCCAGTTCGCATTGCGTCGTTTCCAGAAGGCTCATGGTGCTCTGCATACGCTCGTGGAGCAGGTCGAGCTGTCGCGTGCTCTCCTCATAGCGTACCTTGTACTCGTCCAGCGCGGTGGAGGTTTCTTTGTGTGTGTCGGCAATCTCCTGCTGGGCCCGCTGAGCCGCCGCGCTCGCCTGAGTACCTTTCAGCAGTTTTGCCTTGAGTTGCCTCACTTCCTCCTGCAACTTTTGCTGGGCGCGTTGAGCTTCCTTCGCGCTGACCATCTCCTCGGTGCTCTCGGTGGGTGCTGTAGTAGCAGAGGCAGCAGCTGCAGCTGCCTCACTTGCTGAAACGCCGCTGCCGCCGCCTGCGTGTGCGCCTACCGCCGTCGGTGCTGCTCGCTTCACAGCATATCCGCCGGGCGTCGGAGTAGTCGTTGTGATCATCATCGGCGACGTTGTCGACAGCACAAGCGCGCGATAGCGGTTTCTCCACTCCGTCAGCTCGGCCTCCTTCTTCGACAGCGTCTCCCGGACGCGAATGAGCTCGGTGCGCTGCTGGGCAAGCTCGTCGCGCAACGTCGAGGTGCTCGAGAGCAGGCGCTCCTGCAGGGACTGCCCCTCCTCGCGCAGCTGCGCGTTCTCGCTCTCCAGCTCCTTGACACGCTTCCGCAGCGCCTGCAGCACCGTTGTGTCCGCCGCCGCGACCACCTTCGCGCTGAGGGCGTCATTCACACGCAGTAGCTCTTCCTTTTCGTGTTTGAGGGCTTCGATCTTCTCGAGGTGCACCTCTGCTGCTTTTCCGCTCTCTAGCTGCAACGTGAGCCGTACGATCTGCTGGCGAAGCTCTGCGATGAGCTGCTGGAAGTGACGGTCTTCATTCACCGATGCGACGTTGATGACCTTCTTGGCCACGCCGGCAAAGCGAAGCGTGTTCAGCGTCTGCTGGTAGCAGTACGCGCTCGGGGCCACCGTGGCGAGCATGATCGTCTTGCTGTTGCCGCCCAGGCTGTCGGAGAGCAGCCACGTCAGCACGCTGTCACGGTAGGCGGGAATGACGTGCTTGCCGGACTGCTTCTCCGAGAGCTGCTGAATCACCCGGCCCAACGTTGAAAGAGACAAGTTGATGTTCTTTGCCTCCTCGAAGCGGTCCCCCGACACGCCCGACTGTGACACCCGCTCGCTGCCGGCCAGATCGACCATCGTCGCCTTTGAGATGCGCGTGCGGGTGACGACGGTGCCAGTGTTCTCGTCGGTGTCGGCAAGCACCTTTGTCACCTGCAACTGCAAGATGGCGTGGCTGCGACTGCTGTGCTCGTTCATGTTCGTGCCAGCCGTCGCGCGGTCGCGCAGACCGTTCAGGAGGTGCCTGAGCACGCTCTCCTCATCTCGCACCTTTACATGGGTGAGCCCTTCCACGTAGGGACCCTGTGAGGGGTGCTGGCGGATGCGCAGCGACCCGCCGGCGCTCGCCGAGGCTTTGAAGGAGCTCGCGCTGCTCGACGCGGACAACGCCGCAATTGCGAGCAAATCGCGCACCTTTTCACAGTAGATTTCGAGGAAGCTTGCCTCGACCGTGAAGGTGACGCTCGCGTCCTTTTCGCGCTCCTCACGCATGCGTTGAAACAAATCGGTGAAGAGGCGCGGCATGATACCCCGCTCTGCGCTCGCTATCGTCGTCGACGTCGTCGCAGATGTGCTAGGCGTGCTGCCGCCGCGTGTGCTCAACGCAGCACCCTTGGCGTTCGCGACCGCCGCAGAGAGGGCCTCGGTGGGGCCAATCATGCTATAGCTTTTTCCGCTGCCGGTTTGGCCGTAGGCGAACAGGCACGCGTTGAAGCCCGACATTACAGCGTCGTGCATGCGGGGTCCAATAAAGTCGTAGACTCGCTGCTGGTCATCGTAAACCGGTGGAGCGGCGAAACAAGGCAGATATTTGGTGATGGTGCTGTGTTGCGTGAGAAGAGCGATTTGAGCTGAGGTGGGCCGCACGAGACCTGGTACAGAAATCCTGTGTGTCGCGCCGTCCGCGTCGCTACCGTGTAGCGCCTCTAGCACCGACAGCGGTGGAAATGGCAACACCGTTGGAGCGACACTCCAGAATATTTTGTCGAAGGAGAAGGAATGCCGCAGCGTGTCGAGCGCAGACGGAGTGGAGAAGGCTACGCTTCGCCCTGTATTACCGCCGCCACCGCCTGAGAAGCAAGAAGAGGAGGAAGGACCACCGCTGTTGGCGTCACCCCCTACCACAGAATTGGTGTGCCCACCGCCGCCGGCCGGCCCAGCTGCCGCGGAGCCAGGGATCAGCGCTGGTACATCGAGGACGGAAATCGTTGCGCTGTCCTGCACGGTGGCGGTGCAGCAGGCAGTGTCCTCCCACGCCAAGAAGGGACGCACCCGCACGGTGACGAAGACAGAAGAGGACTCCGTGGTCATTCCCTCAATTTAAAAAAGAGAAAAAAAAAAGATGAAACTGAGAGAAAAGACAGTCGTGGTCGAGGGGTGGCCCACGATAGCAGCATCAACAGAAAACCCGGCTTTATTAAAAGCAACAAGAAAATGCTCTTTTAGAGTTATTATTTTGTCCAATGTAGTGGCACGGTGAAAGGGTGTTTTCCCCTTTCTGTTGTTGTTGCTGCTGTCATGATTTGCGGATGCAAGAGAAGGAAAAAGAAGAAAGAGTCAGAGGCGTGTGATTGCTATTTTTTTAAAGAGTAGATTCGGTGCTCGAAATACACGTCAGTGGGAGAACGTGTTCACCAGTAAAGGAAAAGGCGCAGCCAAGAGAACGAGTTTGTTCTCGCAAGCTCCTCATAGTGTGGTACAGCGAGGAAGACAGCCACGCATAGCGGTAGGATGAAATAATAATCATCATAATAATAATTTTCCGTTTTCCGTGGGTCTCTCTCTCTCTGCCTCTTCGGAGCCGCCGCGTTAATTCACTGTATCCCGTGAAAGAGGATTCATTTTTTTTTTTTGCTTCCTTGTTTGCTGACCTTGCTGATGGTGAAAAGTAGATAATTGTCATCCCTGACATGGGATGATTAGTGAAAGCATAAGCTGTCCAAGATGATCTGAAAAAAAGTGATCTCGATACCTCACTAATGCGAAAGTAGGAAAAAAAAACAAAACAATCTCATCCAACCCACGACAGCATTCGTGTTTCGCGGTTCTGCGTGCTGACGTGGTGCACGCTACACACGCTCCGATTTTTGGTTGTTTTTTGTTTGCGTTCGCTAGGACCACAGAAAAGCGAAACAAAAAAGAAGACTTAAGAAGAAGAAGAAAAAGCCAACGGCAAACAAAAACACTAACAGCAAAAGAAGTAAATATATATATATATATATATTTGAACGACCTAAACCATGAATCTGCCATCCCATCCGAGCAGAAGAGAACCAAACAAAAAAAAAACCGCTGCCAAGGCCTAATACGAATGGAGAGCGGTACCACCAACGCAACAAACGCAGTAGAAACCAGCACAAATTTCGCAGAGCACGACACCGTAAGAGTGTATTTTGCCTCGTTGGTGCGTCGAGCAGCAGCAACAACAGAACACTAAAAGGCAGGAATGTATGAACCGAAACTGCAGCTTTTCCTCCCTGAGATAGTCCACATCACCTTGTTGTCCCCCTCGCATGCCGTAGTAAAACAACTGCACTGTTCCGCTACGATCCGCCTCAGGAAAATATATTGCAAATAAAAGAGAGGGGAGGGAAAAAAAGATGAAGGAGCACGTGCCGAAGCCAGCACTCCACATATGAAGATAGCTTACATTGGAAGGGAAGAAAACGAAAGAAAAAGAACAACGATAGACATCGAGAAAAACGAGGAGAACAAGGAGTCGGCAAAAAGAGGTGACGTTCTGTCAATAGACGTCAAGGGAGGGGGGAAGCCGCAGAGGAGCGAAACAAGAAAGAGGTCAACTTACGCGGCGCGGCGCACGGTTGCAATGGAAGCGGAAGTTGAAACGTCACGAATGACTCACAGCATTTCGGAAATCGATTTCTACTCTTTTTTTGTTGTTGAGCACTCGCTCATTCTAAACTGCTTTCAACCCGTTCGTTTCTTTTGGGGTTGCTGCGTGCGGACAACAAGATAAAAGTTGTTTTGCATGGACTTACGGTGAAACCAAAAAACAGAACGGGAGAAAAGCAAAGAAGAAAACGCGCGTGTTACATGTGCGTGTTTTCGACTGTGTTCGTTGTAACTGATAGCAGAGTAACCGTATTCTGAGTCACCATAAAATACGCTTCTTCAAAAGAAGGCCATAAATTCTCTGCTCGGGGACTTCCGATTCGTCCGCTTCGCAGCTCTCCCCGTTTCTTCTCTTTTACCCTCTCCGAGTTGCAGTGGAGCAACAGATGAGTTGAACTACTGCCGTTTTTATTTTGGATGACGGCCAATAATAACAAAAGAGCGACACTTCAGTCACTCAGGTGACTCCACGCTGTTTACAAGAACAACAACAATAAGCAAGAAGCTCCCGAAGGATCTTGCTCAAATGCACCCACGCCACCATTCTCACGTGAGTTAAAACACAAAGCAGAGAAGAAGGAAGGTCAAAAGGCATGGAGGCGAAAGCCAATCGTCACAATTCGAGGAAAGAAACAGATGGTGGATATTCCTGCACCTACACTTTACACACGGAGTCCTAAAAAAAAAGGCGGCCTTAAGAATAAAACTTAAAGTGAGGAAAAAGTGATTTGAAAAAAAAAGATACTTTTCGTGGATGCCTTCTTAGGAGAAACAACAGGATATCTCCTTCGAATTCACTTACCTCCAAGAAAAAATGTGCGGTTTGTCACCCACAAAAAAAAACTAACGAATTGAGAGAAGAAGTCCAACGAATGTTAAGCTGCAAGTCAATATATATATATATATCTATATACTTATGTGAATACAAAACAAAACTAGAAGACTTTGTATTAATATATAGATATACGTTCGTGTGTGTGTGTGTGTGTGTATGTGAAGCAAAGTAAAACAAAAATGCCTCTCCGGCTTCAAAGTAACACACAGCACTCTCACGATCGATCGTTTCTTTTTCTTCTTGAAAATAAAAAGCACAGTTTTCTCTTGACTTTAATCGTTTGTCAGGTTGCTCGTGCCTTCGCACCGGAAGAAAGAGATAATCAAGAACTCCTTCAGCACGCACATCTAACTACGATTTCGGATTCATTTCCTTCTTCCATTTTTCTCTTTTTTTTTATCCGCTGTTCGGCTCAGACGCATCGTTCTGTGTGTCGCGTAGTACCGCATCCACATCCTTCACCAACTGACTTTGCACGGCGTCCTCTAGGTTCTTAATACGGCGAATATTGATCTTTAAGATGGGCAACGCCTTCTGCTGAAAGAGCGGAGAGGCCAAGATCTCGCACACCGATGGGCGCTTGTTGGGGTCCACGCTCAGCATTTGGTTGACTAATTGAATCAGCTCGCAGGAGTAGCGATCGGCCGGCAGCGGCTCGAAGCTACTTTGCCGTGTCACCATTTCCATCAACTCGGACAGATTCGTCGCCTGAAACGGCTTTCGCAGCGCTAGCAGTTCGTAGATGATGACCCCCAAAGACCAGATGTCCGCCTTGTAGCTGTACGACTGCCGCTGCCACAACTCCGGGGCGAGGTAGTAGGGTGTGCCGCAAAACGTGTTGCCCACCTCGCCCGACACACTCTCCTGGTACTGCCGCGAGAAGCCGAAGTCGCCCAGCTTGATAAGCCCTCTGCGCGTCAGCAGCACATTGGGGGTTTTAAGATCGCGGTGCATGATGCGGCGGTCGTGCAGGTAGCGAATGGCGAGGCACAGCTGCGCAAAGATGACAAGCACCTCCTCCTCGCGGTAGGGGATCGGCGCACCATTGTTCGTGTTCGCCGGCGGCTGGGCACGCGTGTCCACTTGCGTCTGCAGGTCACCCGCGTTCGCGTACTCGAGAATGTAGAGCTCGATTTGGTTCGCCTCGTAGGTCTCGATGAGGGTGATGATGTTGGGGTGGTGGCAACAGCGCATGTTCTCCACCTCCGCCCACGCAAAGGCCCGGTTCGCGCTGGAGGCGTGCGTCGTGTCGGACAGCTTACCCACCACCGTCTCGCCGGTTTCGTTGTTGATTAAAAGCCAAACAGTGGAGAAGGCCCCACGACCGATGGCGCGGCGGACGCGGTACTTGCACGGCAGCTTCGGCCCCACAACCGCAGGAAAGTTGGACACGAGTGGGTTCACGTAGTGATGGTGGGGCTCGCCACTTCCAGTGGATGGCTCCGCTGGCGGCACCAGCGGCGACGACTGCTGGTGTTGCTGTGGGGCAGCAGCACACTCCATGTGCCCGCTAATGTGTATTGTTGTGTGTGTGTGTGTGCGTGCTTTCTTCCACGAACGAGAAAGAAGTTTTTCTCTCTCCACCGAAAGCAGCTGGTTCTTCTTTTCTTTTTATACGAACACAGTCTTGCGTGGGCTGACGCAGCCACAAACACTTCAACAATAAAACAGAACTATGTATAAGCGGAAGTAAAGCACAAGGGAAAAAAATTCACTTCAAGCGGAGCCGCCTTTGCGATAAATCCCAACAGATACACCCGTCGCTACTCGCCACCACAGCAAAATGCAATCTTAAGTGAAACCGCTTCACGTGAAAGAACACGACAATAACAATAAAAAAGAGTTAAGAAGGTCCACAACGACGTTAATATGCCGCCACTATCAACGCCCCAAACAAACAAGCAAGAATAACACACAGGCAAGAGAGAGTTCAGAAAATAATAATAATAATAACACTTCTGCAGCCGTTGCTTAGAAAGGGGTTAAATATATTACCGAAAGAAGCAGAAATAAAACAAAAAGCGCCTCTTCTCTTCAGTACTTCAGTCCTACGGAGTGAAGAAAGGTAAAAACAAATAAAACAAAAGTAGAGAAACCACCGCAAGCGAAAGAAAAGAGGCCTGCGAGGCTTAAGAGCTTCGCGATCGATAGGCTCCTCACAGATTAAACAACGTGCCTAATGTTCAGCCACTCTGTTCTTCACGGAGACGTACAACTGATGATGGCGCACCTAGGCCACAATTTATGAACGTACTTCAAGGGGGCAAAAAAGAAAGAAAAACCCGCACGTGCGTTTCTCTCCCGTCTCAAATTGTGGCGGTTCAGAGATCAAGCGCCTGCTTTTTGTTGATGTTGTTCTTCTTTTGTCTGTTTGCTGTACCTGTGCAAAACAGCAGAGAGCGAGCAGCAACGGATGCTCCGCCTCTTGTCTCTTCTTCCTTGCTCTACGACAATACTGCAAGGTAGAAAGCAGAAGGTCACCAGCTGCACCAGGGGGAGACGAATGGAAAAGCAGGAAGATCGAATTAAAATAACAATAACAATAATAATAGCAATAGTAATAAATAAAGCTTTTCTGATGTGTGTGGTATTCAGAAATGGAAGCGGCCTCGAGCAAGTACACAGAAAAGCTTTTTAGCGTTTCGGAGAAGCTGACCGCAGCTTCAGAGAGCACACAGAAAACGGTAATAATAATAATAATGAGACTAAGTGATTACCAACGAAGGTGTTTTCCTCTCTCTGCGTCGTTTTTTGGTGCTATTGACCAAACCGCAATTCTTTGTTTACCCAAACGATCAAACTTCACGCACTCTTCGTCCACCTTTCGCTTTGACCAATTTTTTTTCCTTTTTGGCCTATTTGTTTACGTGCCGATGAATCTCACCGCGATCGTTCTTCTTTCTCTTTTTTTTTGTCCGTCTGCTCTCTCGTTTGGGAGAGGAAACTACGTAAATGAATAAGAGAGGTTGAATACCAAAAGACTTGTTTGACGCACACACGTCAGAGAGAACACTACACGGGGGGGGGATATATATTGAGTTTAAGTCGATAAGGAAATTAGAAGGGAGAATGGGAAAAATAAGCGGGAGAAAAACAAAATACATATATCGCATTCTCCTCGTATTACAGCAACAAGAAGACAATAGCGCATCGGCAGTCGCGCGGGAAATGATGCTACCGTTTCTAGCGTGTGATGCACGCCGGTAGCAGTCAGCTGATGCAAAGAGTGTGTCTTCCCCTTTTTGGAGGGAAATAAATTCATGGTGCTGTTGTGCGCTGTACCTGTGTATTCGATAAACAGGTTCACAAGAAGAAGCGGCATTTGCGAGCGCGGTGTCGTGTCTGTACACCTTTCTTTTTTCTCTCTGACTTGTGCAGAGATGCTGTTTCAGAATACAGCCAACTCGCAGTACTCTTTTTTTCTTGTTGTTATTGGTTGTGTTGAAGATACCGTGGTGAAAAAAAATAGCAAAATGAACCTTCTCTTTCCTTTCTCTCCTTTTCCCGCTCACACACCACAGTGGTGAGTGGGCGGCATCGGCAAAGAAAGGGGAGCGGTGAAGACGCAGTCGTCGCGTGTGATTTAATAGGCGTAAAAGATAGGGAGGGGGGAGGGGAAGAAAAAGAAAGGGAGCAGACGGAAAAGAAAAAGAAGCCAAAGGATCTGCCGCAGCGTAGTACTGAGAGGGATGGGGGAAGAAAGCTAAGCTCTTCTCTTCCTCCTCCATGGCGCCTACTCGAGGGTACCAACTTGACGACAGGTGGACAGTAAACCCTTCATCTCATCCTCGTCCACGCCGTAGACTACCGTCACGCCCAGCCACCGCAGCCCCTCGACCGAAATTATTTTGCTGGCGTGTGCGCCTTGGTAGCGGATGCAGACCCTTCGCATAGGTGTGGACTTCTCCTTGCCCGTTTTATCTGTTGTTCGCAGCTCAACATCGCACTCCGTCACGCCGCAGCCGGCCCCCGTCGAGAAGGTTCTTTCCGTCGCGCCGATCGCAGACGCTCGCCAGCTGCACGACGAGGCCGGAGAAGCGACAGGGGAGTGCTGCTGGCTGATGTTGCTGCTGCCATCGCTGCACCTAGCGTCCTGCGCACCTGCAAAAGCATCCGCATCACTCAGCGGGCTCTGCGACGCTCGCGGGGAGTGCGGCAACGCGTACCCCTGCACCGCGTCCACCACGGACATGGGCAGCAAGAATTCCACCTCCGCAAACTCCGCATCTCGCGTTGATGGCTCTCCAGCAGGATTCTCGTTGAGGCGTTGGTGAACGGCGCGATACCAGTTGCGACTGTCCTGACTGTTGGTCGGTGTGGTGGACGAGTACGCGTTGCTGAAGGTGTAGCTGCCCACCTCACTCACGCTATCCGACTCTGCCGCGGCGGACGAAAGGCCTGCTCCACACCGCCGTGCCTCGCTCAACGCTGCATTCCCGATCTTGGGGAGGTGAAATCTTGCGGGCGGTGCGTCGACGGCACGGAGCTCCTCGCGCAGCACCGTCTGCGGCTCAATTCGCGATGTCCAGAGATCGTCGTTGTACATCGCCATCACGCCAGCGCGCCCCTTGAAGAAGTACTCCAGCACCGACGGGGGCCACGTCTTGCGGCTGCACAGACACAAAAAACGGCCGAGGAAGACGACGGAGGGGGTCGCCGTCTTCGCGTAGCTGCGCTGAACCCTCAGCGCGGCCAACCCCGCGTCCCAAGACGCCACCACACCAGTAAAAGGCGAAGCAGCAGCAGAAGAAGAGGAGCCGACCCCTGCTGCCGCCCCACCACCACCGCCACCTCCCGCTCTGGCGAGGAGAGGTATCTTGCCTTCGGTGGTAAGGTAGCCTTTCTGCTGTGCATCCTTGCAGAACTCCACAAAAGCCTTTTGCGCTGCCTTGATGAGCCCGCCGCTGGCGGTGCCGGAGATGTGATCCCAGCGGCTCTGCGGTCGCCCCAGACCAGCGGACAACGACGACACAGGGGTGTCGTGCCCACCCCCGCCGGCCGAGACGGACATCATCACTGTCACCTGCACGAACGAGACCACCTCGCCCATTAAATCGCGGCTGTGAATGCAAAACACCTCGGTCCGATGCGCTCGTTGGAGGTCGAGCAAAATACTGCGTTGGCGCGCGAGCAGCGTGGAATCTTGTGTGGTGAGCCGCGACGCCTCGTTCGGGTTGACCGGGAGGGTGACAGGGAAAAACCCGCTGCTGCCGCAACTCTGTGTGCCGTTGGCATTGTCGTTAACGCTGCCGCCAAGAAGAAGCTCATCGTTTTCTAAGCACCAGGCGTCGGCACGGCAGCGAGATGACATGCGCTGCAGCATCTTTCCCGTGTGGTGAATAGCGCTCATGATGAAGCCCAGCCGCGGATGCCCATTCAGCAGGTTCGATAGTGTCAGAAAAAGTGTGTTCTTCATGCGGAGGCGGCCGCAGCTCTGCACGATGTTGCGCAGCTCGGTGTGCCGATGGCAGTAGAGGACCACGTGGCAGTCCGGCACGTCGATGCCCTCCTCCGCTACCGTGGTGGCAAAGACAAGGCGCGTCTCGCCGCAGCGGAACTTCTCGAGCAGCGCCGTCTGCGCCGCACGCGTCATGTAGTTGTCCGAAACGCGTTTGCCGTTCTTCTGCCCCAGCAGCACTTCGGGAAGCAACACCTTGTAGGCAAAGGGGCAGTACTCGGAGAAAATCCGCATGAGACTCGCCGCCGCATCGCGTGTTTCGACGAAGACGAGAACGCGCAGGTTATGCTCGAGCACGTCGTCCGGTGCGTGCGTCATCGCCACCGCGACCATGGCGAGCTCCGTGAAGACCCGCATGAGCACTTGAACGCGGGTGCTGCGGCTTCGCAGTCCATATGGCAGGAGGGTTCTGCCAGCTTGCAGTGCGTCGCCCATCGAGACAGCGTGTGAAAAGGAAAGCGTTGACACGGGAGTTGTGGCAGAGGCACTAGTCGTCCCAGCGTACGATGACCTCGTGTCTTGCGTAGAAAGAGTCTCATTGGAGTGCTCGGCAAGCGCGAGAGGGTGTTGGTGTCGTAGGCTGCCCATGAGTTGGAACACAGACAGAATCACAGGGCGGAGGACGATCGCAGTGATCGGGCCGCACCCTACGCGAATGCGCTCGACCTCCTCGTGGGAGAAATCTTGCGTGAAAGAGCGCATCATCGCCTCGTACGACTCGTCTTGCAGCGCGATCAGTGCTTTGCTTGCCGCTTTAATAAACTGAAGACCGAAAAGAATGAAGTCGGCGCACATCTTTATCTCCTCCTCGCTGCTCAGCAACGGCAGGGGTACGGCGCTACCGCTGCCGTTGTGCGCTGTGGATTCATGCTGGCCCGTCGTCTGTGCTGCCAGGTACGTCCGCACCTCTTTCTCCAACACGCTTCCGGGAGGAAAGCGCAGTGTCTTTTTGAACTTCTCCGTCATGGCCACATCCGTGAGGAACTGGTTGCAGCATGCCTCAAACCCTGGCGAGGCGACCGAGGTGGTGCGAAGGATTTCCATCTTCTTTCGCGCCCCGTTCTCCGGTACCAGCGCCTCCATGCGACGAAACACGTGCGACAACACTCGCCGCAGCGCCGTCTGCAACACGCGCTCCTCGTAGAGGGGAAGGTACGAGAGCGCCGTGATGGCCGGGTTAGGCCGGTGCAGCTTTAAGTCCGCCACCTCTTCCACTACACCGACAAGTCGGCACTGCAGCGTGAGCAACAGCATTACCAGCTCCCGCTCTTTTTTCTGGAAGTGCACCACCGGTGAGGCGGAGAGCCCAACGAGCTGCGGAAGAGGCATGTCGCGTGGGTAGCAGCTCAACAGCAGCTCCAGCACAGGACTCTCGACCTGCTCCCCCACGCCGTCAGGGTTGGAGGAGTGCGACGGGCGCGAGTTGGGCGGGCCACCCGTGCAAAGTTGTCTCTCACGCACCCGCCGCTCCTGCTCGTGTGCGCGTTGCAGCCGGGATGCGAGAACGGTCGCGGCGGCAGATCGCAGGCCAACAATATGCAGTCGCTCCCGTAGGGTTGCATCGTCGAGGTGGCACATGGACTCCACTGTCACTTGCCTTGCCTTGCCATCGCGTAACGTGTGAAGTTGCTCACAAATTCGTTGGTACGCTCCACCCTGCGCGTGGTGGGCTTCGTCGAGCAGCACGAGCGACGCGAGCTGTTCTGTCACGAGGGTCGGGGCCGCGCTGAGCCACTCGAAGAAGCGCGTATCGATGATGACGGCGACGCGACAGCGCGGAGCTTGGCAGAAGGCTTCCACCGTGCGGAACTCCTTCGCCCCGCCCGCCACGCATGCCACCGTCACACCCGTCAGCCGCTCCAACACCTTCGCCTGCTGCGCCGCCAGCGCCACTGTGCGCACCAGAAAGAAGACGCGCGAGGTCGGGTGCATCGCCAGATGGAGAGAGATGAGCGCCGCGGCCACCCAGGTCTTGCCGCCGCCCGTCTGCAGGTAAACCAAGGAGTCTTGCAGGGCGCTGACGCGGAAAAGCTCCCGCTGATAGGGGTAGAGCTTCGCGTATATGCATCGCAGCTGCTGCGCGTGCTCGTTGGAGACTCTATTTAGCACTTCGTTTTGTGCTCCTTCGCAGTCAAGGCTTTGCCGCGGCGCGGGGCATCGAACGGTGTTTGGTGCCACCGTCCCCGGAAGCGCGACGCTAGCCGCGTCTGCCGCTCCATCATTTGTGTACTGGTGGAAGTTCCATTCTCCTGATGCGAAATGCGTCATCGTTGACGTACGTGGTCTGGTGAGCTGGGTGCAGCAACTCCACTGTCACCGTCAAACCGACAAGAGGAAAAGAGGGGTAAAGTCACACCTGTTGTGGTTGATGTGCTTTGACACACTCTACAAAAAAAAAGAACTAAAACGGTAATAATCTGACCACTTAATTTCGTCTGCCCTCTCGCTATCTGTCTTTATTTTTCTGCCGGTGCTGTAAAGGTGTTATGAAGCAACTTAGAGACGTTAACGACACTAAACAATAAGTAAAAAACAAAACCACTCTGCTTCCCCAAAACTGACAAGGAAAGAAAGGGTCAGAGAGAGCGAGAATAAATGCAGGCGCAAAGCTGTTTGAACCCCGAGAAGGACAGCGGCTTCGGCTGATGCAGAGCGTAGGAAAAACAACTTCAAGCCAACGGTAGCATACACCCCTCCGTCGTGAACAACGAAGCCGGCAGTAAATCGACAGCAAATAAATGCTCTATTGAATGCATGACGGTTGCGCTTCAACTGCGAGATGAACGATTGTGCTGAACGATTCCATGAGTTCTCATGATGAACAGCAAACAAAAAAAAAACGCTCACGACTAGAGAGACGGGGCACTCAACAAAGTCAAAAATGAGTTGGGATGCACACTGGTTGTAACACGTATTCGCTCACCTTCCACAGACCTACGCTCACTGGTGAGGCGACAGGTAACACAAGAGGTTTTTCTTTGAAATCCGTTTTTGACTCTTCGATCGTTGCCTTCACGAACAATAATACCGTTGTGTTGCTTCCTTTTCCAGCTGGACGCCTCTACTGTGACATCTAGCACCTCTCTCAACAGCCGATGCAACAGACTTAGAGAAGGAACTACTCCTACGTGATATAAGTTGTTCTTCTCCTGTCGTTTCGTAGGCACTCGTGCGTGAGGAGGGGAAAAACAAAAACAGCGAAACACACATGGTACTGCGAACGCGCTCTACTCCACCTAAGTTCAACCGCAGCGTCACGGAGTACTAAAGAAAACCAAAACGTGAAGTCATGGGAATACAAATTCGAAAACCTCTTGCTGCCTTTCAGAGTTAACGTCCGTGGTTTAGACCATCAGTGCATCAAAGGAAGGCGGACACTCACACAACGAATCGTGTTGGCGCACATACACACACACACACACACGCTTCAACGGAACACCACAACAAAAAAAAATACGGGTTTCTCTTCCTCACCATATGTATTTGTTAAAGGTCAGCAGCGAATAGGTCAAGAGAGCACGTCTAGGTTAAAATGAGGTAAGGTACCGAAACAAAAAGAACAAAAGTCAGGATTAGCAACTGCGTAAAACGCGAACGAACGAAAGAAACGCGTTGTCCGCGAGGCCGTGGGCAACACGTGATGCGAACACACATAAACCAGTTAGATGCATCGTCAGCTTCCAGGTCACAACGTCAGCACCCCACGCACCAGAGCGGCGAGCTGCGACAAGAAACCGTCCAGCGTGTCCTGCTCCATGCACAGCATCTCCACCTCGCACGGCGTCACCTGAAAGCGGTACCCGCACCCCTCACCGCGGGCTACAGCCTCCGCCTCCAGCGCCGCAACAGCAGCACGCACTGCAGCAGCCTGCGCGCCGCTCAGCTCCCGGTGTACCGCACGCGCCGCACGCGCACGCGCCTCCTCCGCAGCCACCGCGTCGCCCACGCCGCACGCAGCGTGCACCACGTCCCCGTAGTACAGCCCAAGCATGCTCACCAGCGCAGCCATCTCGATGTAGTCGAACCGCAGCCGCGCGCTGAACCGCCCGGGACGGATCAGGGCAGGGTCCAGCCACTCCGGGTGCTCCGTGATCATCACCACCATCCGCCCAGGGGCGTCCACCACGCCGTCCAGCACGTTCAGCAGCCCCGCAAGGTCCAGCTTGTCCTTGTGCTCACCGGACAGCATGTCATTCATCCCGAACAAGTGCCCGCCGAGCGCGTCCGGGCCCACCGCGTCGCCGCCCTTCGCACCACCCGCGCCGGCGTCACGCTTCCCCTTCTTCCGCTTCCCGTGGCCGCCGTCGCTCGCACCGCCAGCGCCCTCCTCCTTCGTGCTCCCCGCATCACCACCCGCCCCAGCGCCACTCCCGCCAGCAGCGGCCACGCCGCCCAGCACCAGGTCCATCAGCATCGCAAGCGGCAGCGCGCTCTCCTCCGCTCGCAGCACGGGCCGCGACGACGACGTGTCCATTTCAATCACGCAGTTCGTCAGCGCACCGCCGTCGCCGTCGCCATCGCCCTCACGCGCCGTCAGCCGCGCAGCCGCACGACGCTGCACAACGCGCCGCGCAGCACGCGCGCACACCACAGGCTCCGACGCGTCCACGTCGTCGAACAGGAAGATCACATCCTCCATCCGCAGCCGCTGCGCGCTCCCGTTCTCCTCCGCGCGGAAGTCGCGCACAAAGAAGATGTCGTACAGCTGCTGGTTTGTCCGCAGCTTGGGCAGCGGCACCGACACGATGTGCCGCCCCGTGTACGCAGCCAGCGCCTTCACGAACGTGTGCCGTCCCGTCCCAGCAGGGCCGTACAGCAGGAACCCCAGCTTCTGCGGGAAGCCCTCCACCGCGAACCGCCCGCGGCGCTGCACAAACTGGTCAATCAGCGTCAGCGTCGCGTCGCGCCGCGGAAAGAACAGCGTGTCGAAGCCCTTGTTGCTGCGCAGAACGTACTGTTGAAAGAACACTTTACCCTCCGCCTCCCCGCAGTACGAGTAAAACCACCGTGCATCGTCCTCCTCCTTCGAAGGGGCGTTCTCCGCGTACAGCTCCAGCGCACGCTTCACAAACGCGTCGAGCTTCGCCGCGGCGTCCTTCGTCTTTGCACACCGCAGCGTCAACTTGTGTCGTGTCCACGGATCGGTGTACCCAGCCACGGAGAACTCTGAATCGTCGTAACGCACCTCAATGCCGTCCTTTCGAGTCGGCGCGAAAGCACCTATCGGCGCTCGCACCACGCGCAGCCGCCCCACCGTCCGCGGCTTCAGCTTCTGCTCGTCGTCAGCATCAGTTTCGTCGTAGCCGGGCTTGAACGGCGAGTTGTAAAACCGTGACTGATAAGAACGGTACGGATCCATCAGCAACACGCGCATCTGCAGCCCACGCAGCTCATCTTCGGTCAGTGGGTGTTCACGCCAAAGGTACTCATTCAGGTACACCAGCACCGCGTTCAGCATCATGTCATTGAGGTTCGACGACGCGTTGTACAAGGATGGCGGCGCTTCCATCACGATGGTGCGCGTCGCGTAGCGCCGGCCAACGCCGCTGCGCCGCAGATCGATCCAGTTGCTCACTGAAGGCCACAACGTGCGCACTAGACCAATCATAAACGGCGCGAGGAGCAGCAGCCACTCCGGCGGGAAGGGCAGCCAGTACTGCAGCGCCGCCACGAGCCCCGTCAGGCCGCTTTGGATGAACATCGCCACCCGCTGCAGCTCGGCTGGCGTGTCATTTTGGATGTCCTCAAGGGCAGCGCCCCCGCTAGGCGAAAACAGACCACGACTCATGTTGTACACTGTCTAGCCGGCGCCACTTCGTTTTGTGTCTCCGTTTTTCCCTCGGATGTGCTGATCTTTGTTCGGGTTGCGAGACCACAGCGTTTACTGCTCTACGAAGGCGGCTGTTCCTCCGTTACCTGAACCGTATTTTTAATCCTTAAAAACTTTCGTGCTTGCGGCCCAGCGGCACAAGAAACGGAAGCGAGAAAGTGTGTCGAGCCCGGTTTGGGACCCCGCAGAGCACAAAGACGCAGGAAAGGCGTGCCTGTTCAATGCTCCCAACTAATAATAATAATAATAATAATAATAATAATAATAAAAGCGCTGCCCGGCAAAGCAATAAGAGTAGAGAGTGAAGTATAGAAATGCTGGTCAACAGTGACAACCACAGCATCGCCATCATCAGTAAATGTTTTTGGTGACGAAGGGAGAGAAATAGTGACTTAGGTATCCAGACGTATAAATCTTAACGGCGACGAGACGTCCAAGCAGGATCTCCGCAACGCACCAGACACACTCCGCCGCGTACCGCCACAGGGACCTGGCATCCGCACGTCCAAACACCCATGCACGCGGGTCTGAATGCAAGGTCATTGAAGCTCCTCTTCGTACACGCGTACATTTCGTCCAGCAGTAATTGTTGCTCTGTGCTCATTCCTTCCTTCTACACACACACAGACACACACACACACACAAAGGTATCCTTGAATCCGTGCGAGCGCAGCATCGCGTACGAAACAAAATGTGGTACCACCGTTTGAAACCGCTACGGTGCGTCCGCTGGGCTGAAATCAACACATCTCTATCACTCGTCGCCGAGGAGGGGCAGGAAAGAAAAAAGAACTAACACTAATAGCGGACATTACTAAAACGAAGCACAGCAGGTAAATAGTATTTCATGTTTTGCGTTCACATAGCGTTCCCGGTTTTGACAACGTGCGCATGCCCACTCGCTGACACGCTCGGACGTGTAGAACTGAGTATACTCCGTCCTGCCACAAGGTTTGCTTACTGTCCCTGCGGTAGCGACAACGCTAAACCGTGTTGCAGCCGCGGCTGTGCTCCATCAGCAGCCTCAGAGAACGAAACATGTGCGATGAGGGTCGCCACATCATGTGAAGAGAGAGAAAGTGGAGACAGCATTTATGCATACCGTTGGACACCCACCGTCACATCACACCGTCAGCACCCCACGCACCAGAGCGGCGAGCTGCGACAAGAAACCGTCCAGCGTGTCCTGCTCCATGCACAGCATCTCCACCTCGCACGGCGTCACCTGAAAGCGGTACCCGCACCCCTCACCGCGGGCTACAGCCTCCGCCTCCAGCGCCGCAACAGCAGCACGCACTGCAGCAGCCTGCGCGCCGCTCAGCTCCCGGTGTACCGCACGCGCCGCACGCGCACGCGCCTCCTCCGCAGCCACCGCGTCGCCCACGCCGCACGCAGCGTGCACCACGTCCCCGTAGTACAGCCCAAGCATGCTCACCAGCGCAGCCATCTCGATGTAGTCGAACCGCAGCCGCGCGCTGAACCGCCCGGGACGGATCAGGGCAGGGTCCAGCCACTCCGGGTGCTCCGTGATCATCACCACCATCCGCCCAGGGGCGTCCACCACGCCGTCCAGCACGTTCAGCAGCCCCGCAAGGTCCAGCTTGTCCTTGTGCTCACCGGACAGCATGTCATTCATCCCGAACAAGTGCCCGCCGAGCGCGTCCGGGCCCACCGCGTCGCCGCCCTTCGCACCACCCGCGCCGGCGTCACGCTTCCCCTTCTTCCGCTTCCCGTGGCCGCCGTCGCTCGCACCGCCAGCGCCCTCCTCCTTCGTGCTCCCCGCATCACCACCCGCCCCAGCGCCACTCCCGCCAGCAGCGGCCACGCCGCCCAGCACCAGGTCCATCAGCATCGCAAGCGGCAGCGCGCTCTCCTCCGCTCGCAGCACGGGCCGCGACGACGACGTGTCCATTTCAATCACGCAGTTCGTCAGCGCACCGCCGTCGCCGTCGCCATCGCCCTCACGCGCCGTCAGCCGCGCAGCCGCACGACGCTGCACAACGCGCCGCGCAGCACGCGCGCACACCACAGGCTCCGACGCGTCCACGTCGTCGAACAGGAAGATCACATCCTCCATCCGCAGCCGCTGCGCGCTCCCGTTCTCCTCCGCGCGGAAGTCGCGCACAAAGAAGATGTCGTACAGCTGCTGGTTTGTCCGCAGCTTGGGCAGCGGCACCGACACGATGTGCCGCCCCGTGTACGCAGCCAGCGCCTTCACGAACGTGTGCCGTCCCGTCCCAGCAGGGCCGTACAGCAGGAACCCCAGCTTCTGCGGGAAGCCCTCCACCGCGAACCGCCCGCGGCGCTGCACAAACTGGTCAATCAGCGTCAGCGTCGCGTCGCGCCGCGGAAAGAACAGCGTGTCGAAGCCCTTGTTGCTGCGCAGAACGTACTGTTGAAAGAACACTTTACCCTCCGCCTCCCCGCAGTACGAGTAAAACCACCGTGCATCGTCCTCCTCCTTCGAAGGGGCGTTCTCCGCGTACAGCTCCAGCGCACGCTTCACAAACGCGTCAAGGCGAGCGGCGGCCCCTGGTGTGGCTCGACAGCGGAGCGTCAGTCTGCGTCTTGTCCACGGTTTACTGTAATCAACGAGGGTGTACGACTCTTCGTGGAAAGATAGCTCAATATTGTCTTCCAGGACCGGCACCCACCCGTCCATTGGCACCCGCACCACGCGCAATCGGTCCAGCTCACTTAGCTTCAACTTCTGCTCGTCATCGTGGTGTGGGGCCAACGGGGCACCGGCTTGAAAAGGTGAGTAATCAGGCACGTTGCACCGCCAGCTTCGGTACGGGTCCATCAAATCTACTGCAGTCTTCTTGCACTTTAACAGCTGCGCCGGCAGCGGGTGCTCGCGCCAGAGGTGATGGCACACGTAGACCAGAACGGCGTTCTGCAAAAACACGTTGTGGTTGGGCACCCGCACGAAATAAAGCGGCGGCAGGCGGACCTCGATGTTGCGATGAATGTACGGGAGACCACCCGCTGTGCCGCCGACGGAGGTGCAGGCCATCCACATGCTCTCCACAAACGGCGTGAGAGCGCGAAAGGTACCTGCGAGGAGCGGCACGAGGATCAGCAAAGCGCAGAGGAAAAAGACGGGAACTCGCTGCTCTACAAGGTCAAAGACGCCAGCAACGAAGTTGGCAACCATTTGAAAGCTGCTTTCCAGTTGATGTTGAATGAACCCCGCGCCGCCGGCCTGCAGAGTGTGATTTGCTGCCGCGGCAACGGCTGTGGAGTTCAACGCCATTACTATTCTATTCCTTCTCTTCTCTGCACCACTTGCACTTTATGCTGGACAGTTCTATTGAAACGATGCTTTTCTTCTCTAGATTGTTTGGTCTTGCAGTCTTTTCGATACGATTAAAAACTGCTGAACAAAGGAGAAAACAGATAGAATACGCAAAGCGGAGCAGAGGAGCGTAGAGAACTACCAAAAGCATACATGATAGGAATCCTGCCAGAGAGGGGTTTCTCCCCTTTTTCTGCAGGCCGAGCAGGCGATGAAGCGAACCGCGACGCGGACACGGGGCAACGAATACGTCCAAAGCAGCGCGTTGGGGAGAACCGAAAACGCCGAAACGGACAACTTGCTATGAGATGCTGAGACTCGAATGCGATATATCTATGTCAGGTGCATCGCAAATAGATAAATAAATACAATAACGCGCACAGAACGTTATTGCTTTACACCATCCTACGTGCTCACAGCCTCAATTGGAAAACGCACAACTCGGGAAAGATAATGTAGAAAAAGAAGAGCTGTTCCAATGACCAACGGATGACCGATGCAGATGCACTGATCAACAACAACATCGACACACACGAAAGCAACAAAAAAAAGGCACAAAGCAATTGCCTACTCCAGTTGTTGCATGCAAAAGAAAAACTGCTGCACGGTGTTGCGTTTCGGCTCGTCAAAACGGGGCAATTGTTCCGCGAAGAAGGTTTCTTTCATGGTGCACAGATGCGCGAATTCATGTGGTGAAAGCGAATCCGACCCATCATCGTCGAGCAATGTGCGAAAGAGCGCCTCCTCCTTCGCGGACAACCGCGGAACAGTACCGACGGCCGCGAGCACTTGACTGAACTGCTTCCAGGTGAGTGCACTCGGGCGAACTAGCGTGGCCTGCAGACGTCGCGCTCGCTTTTGCTTTTCCTCTGGCGAGTGCGCGGGGTCGGCAGAGAGGCCGAACTTTTCCTTGTTGTAGCGCACCTGTGCGGCCGCCCCATCCGACACGACGCGTGCGGTGCCCTCATCGTCCGTGTCAGCTCTCTCCGGCCCGTCACTGCTTGCATTCGTTTCGTTGTTCAACTCCGGCTCCACCTCGTTCGCGGTGCTCTGGTGTTCCACACTCCTGTTGTAGCGCAGCACCGTTTGGTGCACCACGGCCTGCACCGCCAGCGTGGCTGGCTTCAGCTCGTCGTCTGGGATCGCACCGCCCCGCAGCACCTCCGCCGGCACGGGTGGGAGGGCGTCCAACATGAGTTGCAGCGCAGGCAGAATCGTATTCGACTCTTTAATCACGTCGAAGAGCTTCTGATACTCCTGCCACGTCACGGGTGCACAACGCACCGCACCATTGGTGGATTGCATCTCCGTTGTGTCCGCGGTGGCGGCGCGGGTCTCCGTTGAGGCGGTGTTCGTGCTCTCCGTGATAGCCCGGCGGTCGCGCCGCAGCAACGCACGGCAGTCCTCCACCGAAATAAATCCCTTGTTGGACGGGTCGCACAGGCCAAACTCAATCGCGCGCAGCTCCCAGCGCAGGTAGTCCATGCGGTAGAGAAACGTTGGGTAGGAGACGGTCTCGAGCAGCGAGTCTTGCTCCGCCATCTGCTGCAGCTCCGCCATTCGAGCCGATGAGGTGTGGCTAAGAGAAGCAGAAGCAGAAGTCGACGAAGCAGTGGAAGAGGAGGCGAAGGACAACAGCGGCGCCCACGCCTGTTGTACTTTCCGGGCAACGTCGCCCCACCACGAGGCGGACGAGGGAGCACCTGCAGGCGCCTCACGAGCGGCAGAGATGACGATCCCTGTCTCTGCTGCCGTAGTATACCGCCCGCTGTGTGGTGAAGGGACGTCCAACGAAGCACCAGCGGCTGTGATCTGCAGTGGTGGTCGTCGCCGTCCTGACGTTGTCGCGGAGACGTCGGTGTAGTACGTGGACCCGGGTGGCGCACCGATGTGCAGCGGCAGCGGCCCAAACAGCAGCGGCCGCATCAGGTGCGATGAAACTTCAAAACTCAGTTCATGCTTGTGCCGCTGGCGCTGCCGTTCACTGCGCCGCGACTCCCCTGCACGGCTTGACGTGGAGCGCGGCGCGCCCTCGCCTCCCTCTTCCGCCCAATGGCTGCCCGTCGGCGTGTATTTCACCTGCACGGCGGGGTCGACGATGATGGTGTTCAAGAGCCGGCAAAATTCGCGCTCGCTGAGGCGTCCGTTGTCGTCGAGATCGAAGACGTTAAAGGCCCGCTCGAAGGTCTGCCGCCGGGTGGAGAGAAACGTGAAGAGAACCACAAACTCGGCGTAGTCGATTGCGTTGGTGCCGTCGATGTCGACGCAGTGGAAGAAATGAAGGAAGCGGCGGCGCACGGCCGGGGGCAGTCGCTGCAGCCACGGCGAAGAAGAGGGAGAGGTCCACCGTTGCTGCTCACCGTTCGCCACGTCGTCGTCGTCCACCGCCGAAAACGGAGCAGGTGCCGACGCCGTGGCCGCCGTCGCGGGCAGCAGCAGCATGCAGCGCACGAAGCCGTCCAGCGTGAGCACAAACTCCCCCGACGCGGGATCGCGCTGGGCGTAGTGGAGAAAGCGATCCTTGAGCTTGTGGGGGACTTCGCGAAACGACGAGGTGTCCATCGCACACTCGACGTCGGCGGCAGCTGTGTCGTTCTCTGCTGTGGAGGCGAGCCCCGCCGCATTCCCACTTGATGCAGCCGCAGCAGTGCGGTGGGCGCTACCCATAACGGCTGCCCCACCCGCTGCCACGCCCAAGAACCGCGAAAGATGCCCTATGAAGCAAAGAAGGGGTGCGTGTTCGATCTGGGCGTTTGTGGACGTTGATGTTGATGTTAATAGAAAGTTCGCGCTTCGCGCAGCACGCATTCCTTCCAACTTCCCTTCACCAAAACGCTCCATAAAAGTCGACATCCTCCCCGATAGAAGCGATGGGTCCGACTTGGTATTGCAAAGGTACGGAGCCGAGCCAACACCCGCTGCCAACCCGACGGTTAAGAGCACTGCACGGCGGGCAAACGACATTGCGTTTTCTAAAGGAGTTGCCTTTCGGTAAAACTGACGGACAAGAGCAACTACACAAAGTGTACTTTTTGAGAAGGGGTGAAAGCGTTTCCGCCTTCAAGAAACGTGGGTGCGTGGCTATGTGTGTTTGGAGAGGGGGGGGGCTCAGGTGGCGCAGTTGAGCCTAGCATTAGAAAAGGTACGTGTCAACGCGAAAGAAAGATATTTATAAAGGAAAGAGGGGGTCAACCAACGAAACGATTCGGTCGAATACGCACACTCAGGTAGCCCCACCCACCAACAGCATGGAGGACCGTCCAACACATACACGTTGGAGAACATAACAGATGAGGAAAGCAGAACTCGTGTTGAGCATCTGCACGCAACCGTGGTGCACTTACACGGTGGTCTTCTCCTCCTCCTCTGTTCTTTCCGGCTGGACAGGGCAGGAAACACCCAGCCAACGTGGCACATAAACGATGGCAGCCCGCAAGAGCGCTTAGGATGCACCAAGATAATAAGGGGTTTTCTCCCCAAACCCACACGTTGCGCCTCGCAAACAAGACTTTCATCGTCTTCGTATGGATCGTGCATCCTGCTTCTCTCTTTTCCAGTCTTGGTACCTGTGTTAGCGCTGTGGAGCAGAAGCAGATGCCTCGCTGCTTCTTTGATATTCATCATTACATAGAGCTTGTTCCCTTTCTTTTTGGTTTCATCCTTCCATCTTCTTCGCATCGCCACTTCTTCGCCTGTCTCCGCTCGCCGTTCCTCGCCCCACTCTGCACGATTGCTGCCTTGCCAAAAGACAACCAAAGCATCAACAAAATGACTCCCACACACACACACACACACACACACACACCGATTTCTGTGCTCGCTGGCCTCTTCAAGCATCAAAGCTGACCCTTTGCCAATGCGATGTTGCTTCTCTACTCGTTCTAGAACAAAGAAAAAAAAACGCAAAAAGGCAGAGCGGGTAATAGAACTGTGATCGGTATAAAACAATCATTTAAAGAAGCCAAAGGAGGGAGTGTCCAACTTGGGCGCAGCAGACAGCAAAGAGTTGCTGACGTTTCGTGTGTGCTTGTGTCAAAAGACAGCGCACACAACGCTGCTATCCAGAGGCAGTAATGCAGAGACAAGGAAGGAAGCAGAAATGGCGTCCGGAGAAGAAAGGTTGCCGGTGCATCTCAAAGACGTACATATATATATATATATATATACATATTCCGTACACCGGTTGCGCAACAGTGAAGCCCAATAACAAAAACATATATAAAGCAAAGAAGAAAAAATTTTCCTACAGATTCACACACGTGACAACGCTCAAGGTGTCATCGAAACGAGTGATATATATAATTCGAAGAGACGGTGGAAAGAATTCTTTTTGATGTAAGTGTAGACGGTAACACGCCAAGGTGGAATATGTGCTTTTCTTTACTTTTGATGCTGCCGCCTTGATTTCACGAAGTTATCAAGAAACAGGGTGGAGAAAGAAAAAAAAAGATGAGGCGATGAAAGCACGTCTCCTCTCATGAATGCTCAACAATCTCACTGCTTTTCACATATAATAATAATAATAAAACGGTTATTTTTACTTTTCTTTTGAGGCATCTTTGTCGCCTTTTGCTTCATCTGGAAAAGAAAAAGACAAAACAAAGAAGAGCGCTGAAACGATTTTTAGGTGGGGCAAAACGCATGAAAAGCGCACGATGGGAAAAATCGACGCTCCCCAACCACACCGTAGCAGCGACAAAGAAGGGGAATAACGTTCCAGCCAACGTCGTCACAGCCTCCGTGGGTCGAAAACGACTTGACGGTGAAAAAAAGAAACGCAGTAATTCAGAAAAAAGGTAGTAATCACTCCATTCTTGTTATTACTAGCGACGCTCCAAAGCTCTGATCATTCAGAAAAAAAAAGAAACAAAAAACAAGAATGATTGAAGAGTTGAGTGCTTCATTTCCGTATTCCCAAAGAAAACAAGAAAAAAAAAGAAGTTGGAAAAAAACCTTTGTTCAACAATCGTGTCTCTCCTTGCGCGTTTCGCTTTTCCACCTGAGCGAAGACCACAATCGGGAATCATACGGCGCACAATTTTAACTCTCATGCAGCTGCAGACGGCTTTACACAAACATGAAAGAAAAAATCATTCTGAAGCTGCAACGATTTCATCGTGGAAGTTTCTTCAGCGATTTAAAAAGACAAAAAGAAAAAGTACATCACAGAACAACAAAACAATAAGTAGGCCACTTTACCTCCTCGCGCCGCCCACAAGAAAGCAAACACGCACCCACACGCTTAGAGCGGATTCTCTCGTGGAACCGCACACGAAAAGCGACGCCGCAGTGGTTGTTGCTGAAACGGGTGCGCACGAGACGCGCTGAACTGCGAGGCGGTCTGCGCCGTCGCGTCCACCGTCCCCTCGCAGTCCATCGATGGCGTCGTCGCACGAACCGTGTCCGGCGAGGGCCGTGATGCCTCTTCAGACGCCGCTGGTTCGTCCTCGTGCTCTTCCTCCCCCTCCCCCTCCCCTTCCTCGTCGTCGTCCCAGATGTATTCGTCGGGGGTGTTCGGATAGGAGTAGGGTCCCCGACCGGTAAGACCACCAGCGATGGAGCCGTGCTTGGAGTGGTAATGCAGGTAGTAGGAGCAGCTCTGCGCGTAGTTCTGCGCGATGCGCTGCGACACGTGCTGCTGCACCAGCTGCGCCAAATCGCATTCCTCCGGAGAGGCCGGCAACGAGGTGGGCGACGAACAGTGGCACGCCGCGCCGCTGCAGTCGGCCTTCTCCTCCACCGGATCGGTGCTGTGGGCAGCCGTACGGAGCTCGGTGGTCGCGCCGGTCTCGTGCGCCCTGTCCGCGGCACCGGCAGCAGCGTCGTTCATGAGCACAATAGGCGTCACTGCAGAACTGTTCGTCACGATGGCGCGCGTCCTTGCCGGCGTGCTGAAGGCGGAGTCCAGCAGCAGTGTCTGCGGTGGGGTCGACAGACTGGAGAAGAGGGCTCGTGGTGGCCGACGCGGCAGGCTCCTCGGCTTGCATCCACCACCACCGTGGTGCATCGCGCTGCTGTGCGTTTCAGGCGGAGAGATGGAAAGCGCAGCGGAGGGGCGCGACGGCGGGCCGGTGGGCGCGAGGGGCGGCGAGCATGGGGAGGCCTGCAGGGAGCCGCTGTCCCCCCCAGCCCCCGCCACGCCCACCGGCAACGGCAGCGGGACAGGAGGCGAGGACACGCCGGGCGGAGGGACAGCAACGACCGCATCACTGGAAGCCACCCGCAAGTCGTCGTCGCCGCAGCAGAAGGCGTTTTCCTCCGCCGCGGTCACCCCAGCCAGCACGTTCGGTGAAGTACGCTGTGCGTGAGGAGTGGCGGCCACCGTGGCGGGCTCCGACACCGTCTCCAGCGCCAAGGCGACCGTGACGGACGCTTCCGTAGGGCCTCTCGTGGGCGTTGTCTCTAGCGGCGTAAGCGCGGTGGTCTTCGCATGGGGGGCGTACGGTGCTGGGCCGGACCCCTCTTCTTCCATCGAGTTGTTAGGCGGCGTCGAGGCAAGCGGCGCGAAGGCGGCAGCGGCCTTCCTGGCGTAGTCGGCGTCCGCCTCTTCCTCCGCTGTTTCGTTGTTCTCGTCGTCAGCCGACTCGTTTGAGCTGTGGCGCCGCGTGCACGCCAGCAACGGTGGCTCGTCGTCATCCTCGCTGTCCTCACTCATGCTGCGGCTGTTGTACTGTCCGCTGCACGACGTGCTAGCCGGGTAGCTGGTGCTGACACTTTCAGACAGGGTTTTGGTGCTCGTGCTCGTGCTGCGGTAGGCGTCGTGGAAGTGGTCGATCACCACCTTCGGCAAGACAGTCATGGGCGGGGTGGAGGACGGCAGGGAGAGAACTGCAGCCGCGGACGAGAAGCCCGGTTGGCGTCCCGTCGTCGTAAGCGCTCTCCGCGAATTCCCCGCCATGCGGCTGCATCTCCTGGAGAGGCGCTTCGCAGAGCCCGGCGGAGTCAGGTGGTCCTTGCCCGCCCTCTCTGCTGCTTTTGTCTGGCTTTCTGATTGCTCGCTCTGTACCGTGTAGGAAGCTTCCGCCACGTCATCCAACGAGCTGGGTGGTGCCTCCGTCACGGGCGCCTCGTCGTCGTGCTTCTCCATCCTCTCTGCCACTCGGTAGTCAAGAGGGGAGGTGCACTGCTGCTGCACATCGCCGGAGTACGAGGCGGAGAGTTCGTTCGGCAAGCCACTGTCGTTTGCTCCATCCGCGTCGAACTCCAAAAGGGGTGCCGCGCGGCACGTGTGCTGCAGCAGCGACCACGCCGACGGCGGAGAAGAAAGGTGCGGGTTCGGTACCACACAGGTCGCGCCTGCTGTCGCGTGAGGCTGCGGACACTGTGCACCTGCCTCCGCCTGCAGGGCGTCGTCCATCGAGGCAGGCCGTAGTGAGAAAGAGTCGCTGTCACAGCGGCGCGCGTACACCTCCGGGAAGCGCATGTTCTGCGTCCAGAAATGATTGCAGTGCTCGGAGCTCGTGCGCGTGGCATTCAGTGGACCGTGGAGCGCGACGCCGCTGTCGTTGCTGATGTGGTTGATTTCGTGGATGGCTTCGTGACACAGAAAGTCGCCGTCGTTGGATGCACAACAGAGCAGCAAGGCAGGAACTGCTTTGACTCCACCTGACATGGTCGGCGTCTCCTGCGTGGTGTCGTGACTGTCGGAAGCAAGGGGGAGCGAAGTTCCGTTGACAGCACTTGGGGAGGTCGTCGACACCTCGGCTTGGGCAGCAGACAGATCCAGATACAGGGCAGACATCGTGGCGCGCATGAGGTCCTTTTTTGGGGGTGTCTTTTTACGTTGATTGCCTTTCACCGCAGTAAACACGCAAGGCAAATCAACGGCCGCGAGAAAAAAAAAAACGAGAAAAAAAAAGAAACCGATCGAACGAGCCGAACGACCCAACAACAAAAAAAAAACGATACGAATGGAACGAGAGAGAGAGAGCAGGCGCTTTGACTCTACGGTGAAATGAAACACGCACACACGCGTAAACAAGAAAAGACACGAATAAATAATAATAATAATAATGGAAGGCCGTATCGACTTCAGCTCTCCAGTTGAAAGTATTCTAGGCAGACAGTACCGAATACTTCAACCCTGGTGAAAGAAAGAAAGAAAAAAACGGCAAAGAAGTATTTATAACCGAGAAGACAGAAAAAGATAAATTAGGTAAGAGAGGCAGTACGAGTATAGTGGGAAAAAGAGAAAACAAAAAAAAACTACGAAATCAAGACACTACGGAATTCCAGCGCTGCCGTGTATGTTGTGGCAGCTCTTTCAACTGCAGCTCTTCGAGACAGGACGAAAACAACGTCTTTTGTGGTGGTGGTCCTGTCAGTGGGAAGAGGAGTAGCTGTGAAGACAAAAAAAAGAAGGTGAAAGGAGAACAGTAAAACAAAAAGAACGGAAAAAGAGAGCAACGGAAATAATAATAATAAACGGTCCGTAGTAGAGAGATTTCTTCACAAAGAAAAAAAAACGCTTTCGATGTGTGAGCGTGCGTGCTTTCCCTGAACGGAATTTGAGAAAAGATGATCGAATCGATCGCACGACAACCGCAGGAGGGAAACGACAGCTTTAATATGTATATATTAATCGACAGAGAAACTCTTTGAAAGAAAAAAAAGAAGAGGTGCCGCTTTAATAAATGCGACTGAAATGCAGAACAAGGCCGCTAACGTTGAAAAGTTACCGTGAATGGAAGAAAGACGCACGCAAAAACAAACAAAAAAAGGAAACAAGACAGCTGTTCTCTCGCGCGCGCTCGCGCTTTTAGATATTCCGTCCTTTTCCGTTGGCGGCTTTACCGGAGCTGATCTCAGCTCGTGTGGAATGTGCCGCGAGCGCAAAAGCGGACGGTGCCGCAAATCAATAATAAATAAAGACCAGCAAAAAGCCGTAACGAGAAAGACAGTTCAGTATTCTGACGCCGTTTCTGGAAGTGAAATCCAAAATGAATAGTGAGGCGACGTTAAAGACGGAAAGAAGAAACGACGAATATGAGAAGAGTGTGTACTCCCACAGATGTAAAAAAGGCAAAAAAAAAACCAAGAAACCGGGCACTTCTTCCTGCTTTTACCTGCTTCTTCCACTACTTATATTCTAAAAGAAACGGGAAACCGCAAGGAAGAAGCGAAAGAAAGAAAAGAAGAGTTCACAACAATTTGAATTATGAGAATAAACTAAACACGAAGATGAGACGAGACAGTTGTGACGTAGCAGAAAAAAAAAAAGCTAAGAGAAAGGAAAAAAAAAAGAACAGAAGAAATCGTCCACCGTCGTGCGTGTCGGACCGTGATGGGTTGCCTGCAAAACAATGCGTTCGTGTTATAGTTAATTATTCTTTTTCTTTTCTTTTGCACTTCCGAAAATTGTGCAGAAACAAAACAAACAAACGAACAAGAAGAACACACAAAAAAAGACGAGAAACGGAAAAACGCGAAAAAGAAACGCCTAGAGAAGAAAAAAACAGGTAAAGGCGTTTGTTGTTATTATTTTTAAGTTGCGCTTCAAACGTAATTTTGAGACTTTATGACGCGTTCTTCGGAAAAACAAATGATAGAGAAAGAAAACGAAGAAAAAGATCGTCGTTTGTGGGTTACCTGATACCAGATACCTAAAAGATGGCCAGGTCTTTAGAATTGGACGTGTCTGAAAGCTCAAGCTGAACTGCTCCCCTCGCTTTTGTTCCTCCCTTCGCTTTCACGCTTTTTCTTTTCTGTAACGTGTGAAGGAAAAAAAAGCACCGCTTGCGACGATGATGCAAGCGTTCCTGCAATGCGAAAAAGGAACACGGAACGACGGGCGAAGAAGCAGCGATGGATTGATCACATAAGATAATAATAATAATAACTCGAGCGGTGAAAAGAAAACAAAATGAGAAAGCTGAGTAGTGCAAAGAAAAGGGAAAAGCCGACAAGAGAAGAAAAAAAGGAGAAACAAAGAGTGCTGCAAATACAAAAGAAAAAGATTTGAACAAAAGAAGAGGGAACAGGAAAAAAAAAGATATCAGTATTTTGTTGTTGTTGCTGTGGGGTCATGTAGAAGGTATGAAGTGAACAAAGAACACTGTATTACAACAACGCGGAGTAGAAGAAAAAAGAGAAGAAAAAGAGAAGAAAAAAAAAGAGGGTTTTGAGGCTGAAACACGAGAATAAATGGTCTTTTAGCCTTCGACGCAAACCCCCCAAAAGAAAAGCGTGTATATCCACGCAGGTGATCTAGGAAAACCAAGAGTTACGCAAATTGTGGACCACGAAGGAATTTTTTACTGAACACCACCGCGCTGAGATGCCGAAGAAGAGGATTGCAGCACCACACTGCAAAACGAAAAAGTGAGGCCGCTGAATCGCGTCACCGGGTGAGTTCAATAAGTTAAACGAGAAAGACAAAGAGAACAATATAATTCTTTTTGTTGATGACCGCCTTTCAACTTCCGTCTTTTGATTCTGAAAAGGGTCAAGAAGGACAACGAAGGGAGAGGGAGAGGGAGGGGGAGGAAATTATAAAACCAACAGCAAAACAAAACCAAAAAAAGAAAATTTCTTTACCGGAGTTTGAAAAAGAAGAGAAATGAAAAAAAAAACGGGAGGCAATAGATATAATAATAATAAAAGACTTTCACACACAAAAGGAAATGTTGCAAATCTAACCCGCAAGAAGGGAAAAGGGGGAAAACGCTCAATGCAAAGTATGATGGCAGAAGAGCAGGGTGTGTTTGCACCTACAAACAATTTTTTTATTTTATTTCTTCCTTTGCAACTTAAATTCGTTAGTAGCTACTTTGTACACTTCGCCGCGTGGGTTTTTTCTTTACTTATTATTTCCTGAGGAAAGTTTTTTTGTTGCTGTTTTGCACGAGGCTGCTTTGAATGAGTTTCAGTCAGATGTTTAGAAAGAACAGTAAATGGGGGGAGGAAAGCTACGAAACAGGAAAGAAAAAAGCTGAAAGCAAATCTATAATAATAAAAAAACGAACAGTTAATCAAGGACAATAAAGGTAGTAGCTGCTGCTCGCCGCACGGAACTCGTTAGCACACATATATACGTGTGCGTGCAGATGATGTGTCCACGCTACGCAGAGGAGCTGGACTATTGGATGTTACCTTTTTGCGCCTGTCCGTTTTTCTTCGTCTGATCCTCCACACGCACCGAGATAAAGAGCAGACGCCTGAACCGATGAGTCCACAACGAAGACAACTCAAAACAACGAAAACAAAAAGAGAAGGAAGATAAAGAAGTAGAATACACCGAAATAAGAGAAGACAATTCTACTAGATGAGAAAAAAAAAAGAATCCTTTTCCACCTCCGTCGGTATTCGTTTTTTATTCTTATAAGCGTTTATCTACGCCGAGGGAAAATCAGAGAAAAAGGTACAAAAGTAATTTCGTGAAACACAAGACAGATAGTACGCCGTGGCGGCGATAAAGCAGGATGAGAGGAGAAGCAGTAGTATGGTGGGCAGCCGATTCGTTGGACTCGGTAGCGGTAGTGGTCGGGCGGAGTGATGAAGCACCGGTTACCGAATACAGCTGGTTGCGTCAAGGCCTTGAAATATTTTTGTTTGGCAAGGCAGAGAGACGCAGAGCAGTAGAGTCTACCACCCCTATTGTTGTCGTGCTGGTCCTTTTGTGTGTTCGCCCGTCAAATATTTACGTGCTGGGATTAGCGCAATCTCTGTTTTAATGCCGTTGCTTTTCTCTGCTACCCGAATAACAGAGTTGTATCCGTCAGGTGAAGAGTCGTAAGACTCGGAAGGAAAATCGGGTTTTCGAAGCAAGTAACCCAAAGAAAAGAGGGGAAGAGACGTGCTGTGCTCACACACGCACACACAACTTTTCCTTCTCTTGCTTTTCGTGTGTACTGCTTTCGGCTCTTGCTCTTTTTCTTTTCTTTTTTTTTTTTTTGATAGGCTTCCCGGCTGTTTCGGAGGGAGTAGTTGCTGCTTGCTGCCTCAATGCGGAGCCGACTTTTACGATTGCACGAAGGAGAGAGAGAGAATGAAGTCGCGACAACGATTGGAAACGGTCTTCAATGGAGAAGGGGGAAAAGCCGATTGTTTCTCTCTTGTTGTCTCGCTCTCGCTCTCGCTCTCTCACCTTCCTTCTTGAATGCGTTTTTCGTCGACCACGGAGCGCTACGTGTTTCAGTAGTAGCTGTGCAGCGCTGAGAGTAAAGATGATTTTGTCTGTCTGTCTGTGTGTGGTGTGTGAGTGGGTGCGTTGTGCCTGTTGCTGCTGTTTTTTTAATGTCTCTGATGGCTCTTCCGCTGCCTGCAGAACGTTGATCGCACTCTTAAAACGTTGTTCGATGAGCGTGACGTTTGACGTTTATTGTTTTTTTCTTTTTTTTTTGAAAACCGGGTTGAAAAAGAAAGAGGAGAAGCAGAGAAAGTGGGAAAATGGAGCGGGCATTTCCTATCGTCAAGTACGACGATATTCACGTCAAGCAGCGAGAAGCATAGAAACAGCGACACTGTCTTCCTCAACTTCACCAAAGCAGAAAACGCGTTGTCGTCTTCGCGTAGGAGAGGCTGGGAAGAACACAAAAAAAAACTTGCTTTCTTCTCTCTTGAGAAAGCAAAGACGGCGGGCAACGCAACAACGAAAGACACGTACAGGCGAAGAACGTCGCCCGATTCGCTACTGAGCCGTCTAGGGTTTACATTTCATTTCGTACTACAAGTCAACTCCATCTTCGCCACCCGATGCCTCTGCGGAGCGTTCAAGATTTAAAAAAAGCACGTGACCAAATCGTCAGAGCCCACGAAAGCTACCACAAAAGCGCCTTCGTATAGTTTCGCAGCCAACCGGTTCACAAGTATCGCAGTGAAGAAAGCCGCCTGCGTACGCATTACACTTCCACTTTTGTGAAGCGGTGCTTTGCCGTAAATACAGCAATCGTTTTGTTTATTAAAAAAAAAAGGAAAGAGGATGTTACTAAAAAGTCCTATAAATGAGAAAAGAAGGAAGAGAAAAGTGTTCGCATGTCAAAACTGTTGTTTTTGTGTGAAAAGACAGCTTCATTTTCTTCAACTGCGTCACAACTAAAACAACAGACGACGCCCTCAATGATCGATTTCGACACGGAAAACTTGCCGGAACAAGAAGATACATACATGCATATATAACCCAACTACTCCTGTACGAGTACTGGTGGTGGACAAATTCACAAATAAGCACTGAGAGCAAATATGCATAAAACTCCCCACAAGGGGTGGCAGCGGCAATGATAGAAATCGATTACGACATCAGCCAAAAAACAGAAGCCGTAAATTTCTAGTTGACGGCTCTCCGTCCAGGAAGGAGGGAACGAAGAAAGAAGAAGAGAAACCAATAAGGTGTAAGCAAATGTCATTACATCCCGTGTACCGTTTTTTTTTTCTCCTTCAAGGGTTGACAGCCTTGGTTATTCGTTTTTAAATGAAATTTGTAGAGCTTCCCGAAAGGGAGTTTCTTGCCGGCGCAGATCGTCTGCCTTTCCACCTCGTGGGGTTGGCAAAGGGGGAGGGATGGCGGGAAAACAACAAAAAAGGCCTTTTCGGGAGAGAGAGGTCGACAGGGGGGAGAGAAAAGAAGAGGAGAGTATACAACGTGAAGCTTTCGACTCATCTCCCGGCGAATTGTTCCTGTCTCAAGTAGAAATAGAAAAAATAACAAGAAAAAGGAGGAGAAAAACAAAACAAAAGCGGAGCTGTGTTTGATAGCTTTCAAGGAAACGAGAAAAGAACGTTTTGTAGAGGAAAACGAAAACCGTTAAAGCACCTTTTCCCCTGTTTATCTTCAAGGAAACTCGTATTGCTAGCTGCGAGTTGAAGAACACAGGATTAAAAACTGCGTGTGTAGAAAAGAAAAAACAGAGTAGAATTACGAACACTTTGCGTCAACACTATTCGCTGACGTTGACCTGAAAGAAGACACAAGCAGCAAGAAGAACAACCAAAAAGTGAGAACACAAAACAAAAGAAACGTTTTGAGTGAATACCCGACAGGTTTAATGTACACTGATTCTGGTGTGGCAATGACGCCCGCTAAGCCGGTGTATCAGCAGTGTATCTAAACGGCAATGCAACACGTTAAATAAGCTCTATGGGAGAGTGTATATGGCTAACGTGTCGAAAGGATACACCGACCCACACAACGCCCGCCATGGTCGAAAGGGGAAAACAAAAAAAGGCAAGCTCGCCTGGGGTTGCCGCTTGATGCGCACGCGACCGTAAAAAAAAAAGGAGCAAAAAGTGACGAAAAGTGACGAAAAGGGAAGCAAAGAAGCTAACGGTCAAAGAGAGAAAACAACAACAAAAAAGGATACAACAGCACAGCAATCCGCAACACGACATACATGGTTACCTTCTTTTCCCCCCTTTTCTAAAGAGACTCAAGATAACGTTTCTTCTCTGTGGCCAGGACCACCATCCCTTCTTCCGCAGATGTCGATTCGTCGTCACGGCTTGTGTATGTCCCAGTTTTCGTGCGGTAGAAGTACGCTTGATGACGCCGACGAAGGTCCAAATAGTGGTCCAGCACGTCCAAATCCAAGACGTGGAGTGCGTCCTTTATCGCCGTGCGGAGAAGCGGAACACGTCGGCGCCACTGCAGCTCCGTCTGACGCCAGTTGCGAGGATCGTCGCTTTCCGGCTCCGCGTTAGACAAGGTGGTCGTGAGGCTTTGCAGACCTGTGCTATCAGACGCGGATTGCTCCCCTGGTGACCTTGTGTCCGTATCATGGGAGTCGTCATCTGGAGACGGCAACGACCCGGCGAGGGCCGCGATAGCCAGCGGGTAAACCCTCGACGTCACCACCCCCGCGAAGTCAGCTGCAGCGTTCTGCACCACGATCACATCCAGCTGATGTGGTGCTTCGCCCTGCGCCCAACAGCTTTGGCTCGAGGAGGGGGAAATGAAGGCGGTGGTGGCGGACATCTCTCGAGCACTCTCTGCCGTCTCCGCGGCAGCGCCAGAACCTCCAGTCCGCACGCTGCCACCACCACATGTGCCACTACTGCGGCGCGACAGCGTTCCCAGCATGGCGGGGCTGAGCACCGCAGCGCAGCCGAGAAGCGCCTCCGCACGCCGCACCGACGACAGCAGCTCCACGAGGGCGGACGCGGCCACCTCGCACGTCTCGCGGCGGTCATCGTCGTCGAACTCGTTCGCCGCGTGCTGCGGCGTCGGTAAGATGGGAGGCGACGGCGACGGCGGCGTCATCGTCACGGCCACCGAGGCCGTCGCATGCAGCGTCATCTGCGTAGAGCTGGGAGCGGAAGAGGAGGATGTTGCGTGACCGTTGTCTGTGCGATTGCTGCCGTTACTGATGCCGCCGCTCAGCGCGCCTGACCGCTGCGGCGGCGGCGGCGGGCTCGACTGCTTTCCACACATCTGCCATCGCTTGCCGTTTATCAGACCGGCAAGCGCCAGTGGGAGGTCCATCGTCACGACGTGAAAGGCGAAGGTCACGCTCATCGACTCTGCGAGAAGAACGGACGCCATGTGCCTCCCGAGGGTGCCGGTGATCTCTGCGGTTGAGGAGGCGCTCCCCTGGTCCGACGGCGCCGCACAGCTCAACACCTGCACGCTCCCATTTACCACCTGCGCCACACGGCACAAAAACCGCAACGCCTCCTTTACAGGTGGCGTGTCGCGTGGGTTCAAATAGCGCAGCTCCTGCGCAGACCCGCTCCATAGATGACAGCCGATCACCGCGGACACGACATGCTGCGTCAACCTGATCAGCTCGGCGGCAGCGGCCGCATCGAAAATCGCTGTCCCGCCTTCAGGCCAAGACGTCGCCGCCGGCGTCGTCGGCAGACTGTCCACCAGCATCCCCAACACGTCAGTGAGTAAGGCGTACACCTCCATTTGCTGCGGGACGGAGGCGTTGGCGGACTGGCCCGCACAGCGACGCTGCATGCGTGCCAGCAAAACCACGAGCAGACTCTCCCGCAGCGCCTCTCTGCCCCACGTGGCGGTGCCTGCAGTGACGGGAAGCGGTGGTGGATCGACGACAAGAGCCTGAAGCGCTGCCATGCCAGCCTGTGCACGCGCCAGATGTGCTGCTGCAGTTCCTGTTGCAGCTGCTGCTTTTGCTTCGACACCCGGTAACGCGGATGAGAGTCGCGGTGGTGTAGAGCCGCTGCCCCGCACCGGCCTGGTCAGCGGATTGTCCGCAAGGACGTGCACGTGATCGAAGTAGCTGCGCAGTGTGAAGAGGCAGAGGCGAGGCAGCTCGCAGCGCACGAGCTCCGCCGCAGTGCCGATGTGCGCTAAAATCTCCAGCACCTGCGAGTCGGCAATTTGCTGTGCCCATCGTTGACGACGCTCCATAGCTGGCACAGCGTCGCGACCGCCCCCTGGCCCCTGCACCCCCGCCCCCATCGCTGCGAAGAGGATGCGCAGGACATGCAGCACGCGGCTCAGCGCCTCGTGATCGGCCGGCACGATAGGGTGTGACTGAGTGCGTGTGTAGGTGCACCGTCGCAGACAGTTGGCGCAGGCTGGCAGGTGCTTGAAAGACTCCTCCATGAAGTAACGGTAGGTTGCTGCATCCGGCACAATGCCATCGCTCCCCCTGTCCGAATTCCGAACAGGGGCATCGAGAGGCGCGGTAGATCGAGCCCCGCTGATCTTTGCCGAGGACCAGTCTAACGACTTCGCCAAGGTGTACAGCAGGTGCACGGCCGTGCACTGCGCTGCCGAAAGCAAGGCATGTGGGCGCCGCGCCGTCGTACTATATACGCAAAATCCGTTACCATCGATAGAAATCTCCTCAGGCACCGGAGTTGGGGCCCGCCCGTTCGCTGCTGCGGCTGCTGTGGTGGGCGAAGAGGATGGAGAAGACATGCGCATGGCACCAGGAATTTGTGTGGCGTCTGTTGACAGGCAGCACCAGATGTGTGCCACGGCGCCGCGGCGCAGAAGGTAGTCGACCACCTGCGCCAGCAAGCGCGAGGCGGAACTTTTGTTGCTTTTCAGTGTAAGGTGGGCGAGACACTGGCGAGCGGTTTTGCGTGTCACAGAGGTGGCGTCTTTGATGTATGTCAGTACGTCGATCAGCAGCCGTAGCGCTCGCTCCATGTACTGCGCGTGTAGCAGCGCCCAAGCTTCGCCGTCCCAGCCGAGGAAATCGGAAAAGATCTTCAGGAGGGCACGGAGAGGAGTTGGCAGCGCTGAGGCGGCTTCTTCGCTTTCGCCTTCGTTACTAGACAGCGTCGTCCCTTCACGTTGCTTTTTCGCGTCGAAGTTCGTATCCGGTGCCTGGGCCGACAGGTGAAACAGTTTTGCCGGACTCTGCGACACCATGGACTCCCAAAAAGCAAAACAGTGCTCAAGGGTGGGGGTCACCACCTCCTGCACGGTGTTGCCGGGGTACTCCAGCAGCTGCGACAGCACGGTCAGCACGTTGGCGTCGACCAGCGCCGCCATGGACTCCTCAGTGCACGTGTTCGGCTTCGTCAAATGCGCAAGGGAGGTCAGCACCTCATTGGTGAGCAAGACGTGCGAAGGGTAGGCGCTGCGCAGCACAGGGGTAGGGCACATAAAGGCAGCAGCGGCAGCGGCTTCCGTCAGCATTCGGGTCTGACGTTCGCGCTGCAAGCAGCTGCTCTTGCTCAAGCCGTAATGCAGAAGGCTTCCCGGGCCGTGCGCCGTCAGCGAGAACGGCTCCATCGCTACAGACGGGCGAAAGGGTTCACAAGAGTTTGTGGGACTGATGGCAGATTTGCACAGGAGATGCGGACGCGACGAAGACACCGACCGGATCGGCGCTGCGTCGCTGCCGCCGCCCTGCCGTGGTGCTACGGAGCTGAGAGGGAGAGAGCCTCCATAAGAGGAGGGGCTCGGCGAGGGGGTCGGTTTGACCAGTGCACGCTGCACGCGGCTGCGAAGGGTGCTGGGGCTTTTCCCACCCGCGTTGCTCTGCATTGCCGCCGTCATAATTGCTGCTGCTGGTGCCGCTGCGCTGGTGATCGCCATGGGTCGCGCGCGGGCAAGGGAAGCGCGACCGGCACTCTCGCCACCGAAGGACGCCGTCTCTGCGTCGGTCATGCCGGCCAACGTCATCGCGTTGGACAGCATGCCGTCTTGAGCGCCGCCGGCACCGCGATCGAGGCAAGGCACGTTGACTCCAAAGCTGTCCCTCGCGGGGCTACTTGCTGCCGTATTGGACTCCGTCGTCGACGCTGCAGCGACGGGCGCCGGAATGGCGACAGTGGCAGGGTTTGCTGACTCGTCACTCGAGGGAGTCTCCGCGCCCGCAACTCTTGCCGGACAGGCCGGCGATTTGCTGGATCGACGGCTGTGGGTCACCGTACCGAGGGTATTGAGTTCGTCTGCGTCATTGGCGGCCGGTGTGAGCCGCAGGGGGCGACAGTCGTCCTTGTCCAGCACGCCGGCTTGCGTGTTCATCACCGGCGACTCGCACAGCGAGCCTGGCTCGGAGTCTGCCACGTCTACCTCCAGGGAGGGCAGCGGGGAGAGAAAACGCCGCGTTGCCGAGTAGCAGCCAACTCGAGGTATTCGCGGGGAAAGGTACTCCACAGGAGCAGACACGTGCCCTTCTTGGGCTGTTGTCGGTGATGGTGATGCTGCCGTCGGTGTTTGCACTGACGGAGCCGTGAGCGCCGTCTCCCCTGCTTGCAGTGCTCGCTCGAGGACACACACATACGCCTTGCAAACGGCGGAGCAGACGGCATTCTCTTTGCGGTCCGCCTCTGGTAGACACGTGTTGCGATACGCGGCTGCGTGAGAGAGATACGACACAATGCAGGTGTAGAGCTCTAACGGGCTCTGCGGTCGACGCGTGCTGTCGAGCGGGGCCCACGGAAGCTTTGAAGCAGAGGCGGACATCATTTCTTTCCTCGCCGTGTTTATCACGCTGTCTTCATCATTTGCCGCTGAGAGCGCGCCGTGACGGAGGACATCGTAGCAAACCGTGTGCGACTTACGTGTGAAGACGTCCATTTCGTCCAGGACCTGCACCGGCATCTGCAGTAGCTTCGTCACGCGTCGCAACGTATCGTCTGCCGTCAGCTGCTGCCCAAGCCGCGAGGCGGTGAGAAGGACCTGCTGATGCGAGTCATCTTCTTCCGTTTCATTTTCCTCCACTTTCTCGTTTGGCCGACGATTGGCGTAGCTGCGAATGACAAAGCAAGTTTGCAGGAGAGCGTCTACTGTACGCACCACATAACTGCACACCGCTGCCCCCCACCGATGAGCTTCACACGAGGCGGGTGCGAGAGCGACGCGCGCGAAGTGAAGCAGCACCTCTTCATGTGCCACTAGTTCGTTCCAAAGACCTCTCTCCTCCACGGCCACACACTTCGGGGTCGTATGGAAGCCGCTCTTTGTCAGGTCCTCCACGAGCGGCGCGCACACAGCATCCACAACCCACGCGAGGGCATCCACCGTGCGAGCCATCAGCTCTGCAGCGCAAAAAGAGGGAGTCAGCGTTGTCATTCCTCCAACTTCCGCAGGGAACGCACTTAGCACCTCTAGCAGAGAGTTGCTGCGCCCATCGCCTAGCAGCACCGTTATCATGGCACTCGTCAAGGTTGCCTTCACTGCCGCTGAAGTCGTCGCTGCCTTCAACGTAAAGGAGTCTAGCATAGACTGCACGTCGATCAGCGCTGCGATGGCGTGGTGGTAGGTCAGCGCAGCAGAAGGAGTAGTCGCAGTGAGAGACTTGCCCGACGACACAACAGGCTCTACAATAGTGCCTGCCTGTTGATGTAAGAAAGCGAGTAAGACTTGAATTGCGGAGCTGCAGAACTCGCCTTTTGAGCGGCCCTCCTCCGCCAAAGCGAAGGATGGCAGCGCGGGAGTGGGCGGTGCTGCGGTCACCGATGCGTCGTCAGCGATGCAGCGTGTGCGATGCGGGTCATCATCGCGTTGCGGGAAGTCGACGTGCACGGACATGTTCAGGAGTAGCGCGACTTGCTGATGAAAAGATAGAAACTGAGAAAGGGCCTACGCGAAAGAAGAGAACGGGAAAACAAAAGAAGCAAAATTGAATCATATATTGGTAGGTAGAGGAAACAACACAAAGACGAAATAGAAACAACAATAAAACAATGTACGAACTGAGCCGGCGGTGCAACGTCCACGGAGAGCCGAAGGCAAACCTGCGCGACGCACAGCAGCTGAGGAAAAATAAATAAAAACCGGAAATAAAAAAGAAGTACATCAAAAGAAAAGTAATGAAATAATAATGATATTAATAATAAAACACCTCACGTCATGTCTCAAAGAAAACAAAAGTGCGAATATAATTCACTAAGCAAAGCTTAGGACAGAAAGAAAAGAAAAGAAAAGAGGACACGATAGCAGGGAAAAGGAAAGCAATAAACTTTATGAAGAGCCCTCAAAACAAAAAAGATCACAAAGAGAGAAAAGGAAGAAAAAAAAAGAGCAATAGCGGTCACAGTGCAATAAAGAAAAAAAAAAGATTGTTATGAAAGTTGATAAAATGTGTTTAAGCTGTGTCGCAGCCTTTTTTCGAACGCTCTTCACCTTGCTTCCTGATGTGCGCATATATGTGCGCGTATCTCGTCATAAATAGATATCCCTCTTTGTAAGAAGTAAACGTCTAAAACGAGTTTTCGCTTCTTTTCCGCAAGAGATATTCACACACGCCAGTGTGGCTTGAGTTCGTGAGAAGGTGAAAAGGGTTGTGGGTGTTGCTGTGGTCTTTTTATTTCTTTCAACGTACCGAACAGAGAAGAAGAAGGAAAAACGAGAATTGTGTATGTTTCACGCAGTGAACAGAGGGGGGGGGGGGGCGAAACTCTTCTCCCGTCCCGAAGCACTAAAATGCAAAGAGCAGATGATAAACTAACAGCTACCAATGCAAAAGAAACGGGAAAAAAAATTGGCTTTCCTTAGAACGCTATGGTCGAGAAATTCGTGGGTAATGCAGTGTAGAAGAATATACTCGTTTTTGTTTTTCTTTTTACAAAAAAAAAAGCAGCGCCGTTTCGCCACTGAGAAGGAACCAGAGCGGATATGAGACGAGGAGGAGACAAGAGCGAGCGAGGTGTAGAAGCCACGGGAAGAGGGGTGTGGGCTTCTCACGATGCAGTGTAGGTCTCTCTTTTTCTCTTTTGGTCTTGCTGTCGCGTTGATGTGCGGATAAGTTCGAATTTCAGGTGTAAGGAATGCACAACGGACGCATTCCGCCACATGTGGAAGGGGGGGGAGAGAGAAGAGCGGAAGAGGATTCAAATGGACAAACACTTTTCAGGGAAAGAGGGAGGGAACAGGTGTCTCAAGAGCACATCCGCGGCGGAGAAACAAAGGCTGCTGTGGTAAGGCAGACCTTTGCCAGCGCAGCACACGTTTCCCCGTTTTGCTTTCGTGTTTCCAAGTCAGACTGTTGAAACAACGTTGACTTCGTTTAGGATATTACACCAACTGAGAACACAAGGATTCAAGATTAAGAAAAGGTTAGCGGGGGACTTTTTGAACGTACATCAATCTTTGTTGCTGGCAACAAAAGCATAGCTGATTCTTCAACGTACACATCCAAGAAATAAATAGGAAAAAGCAACGAAGAAGCGATTATGATGGCAATCCACGGTGAGGTAACTCTCCTTTACACACCAGAGAAAAGGGAGGGTTGAGTGGAGGAACAGCAAAAAGAGAAAAAAGCACGGATAATAATAATAATATGTGTATAACGAGTGAATGTTACACACCGCGATGACGACGGCAGCGCAGAAACACAATAAAACGACAGAGGAGTACACATGCTTTATGAAGATAGGAGCGGTAGAGCAGACGCCTTTTCTTAGTGGTTTTTATTTTTCGCAGTTCTTTCCTTTTACAGTTCTTCTGTTGTGGAGATCAAGAAGAAAACTTGGAGACGCAAAACAAACTAATTCCTTCTACACGTAAGCAACGAAACAGCCCCCAAAAAAGAAGGGGCGGCGCAGAGAAAAGCGCTTGTGACACCATTGTTGACTAACAGTAGGGGGAGGTGTGTTGGCACGCACAAGTCGCTACTTCACCAGCGGGCATCGCTATTCCTTCTCTACAAGTGCTGTCTGACGGGGTGGAGACTCACCCAGACCCCACTGTCACTCCGCGCCGAGCTTTTCTTCGGGGTATATCGTATTCTCACGGTAGGAGCACGGAATCATCGGCACCGAGTTCGTTGAATCGATCGCGGCCACTACTGGAAATACATCGCTAATCGTCACCACCGCCTCCGCCCCTAACCCAGGAAAGCTGATGGTGAGTACGTTTGACACCTGCAGACACGGCGTCTCCATCGTCGGCAGCGGGGCGCTTTTGCTCATCTTACTCGCATATCGCACCGCATCGGGCAGCCGCAGGGGGACGTCAAACGTCGCTGTGGTGCGGGGAATCAACTTCCCCGAGGGCGGCGACACCTCCGTCGTTGCGATCGTCTGCAGCGCGTCGGCCACGTTTCCCTGTGCCATGAGCCGCTGATGCTGCTGCAGCACCACGTGCACGCAGTGGATGTGTGCTTTGCGGCACAAGTTTTGCAGAGTCAGGCGCACCATCACCTTCGCGTCGCCGGACGCGGCCGTCGTGAGGCTGCCCAATGCGTAGTTCTCGTTGGTGGTGTTGTAGGAGTAGACAGGCGGAGGGATAAAGGCGATCATCGGCACCACGGCGGTTAGCTGCAGCGCAGCTCCTGGGTCCTTGTTCATGCCGCAGCACCCCGGGTCGATCGACAAGGCTAAGTTGGGGTTAGTGGCCTCCTTGCTCGCACCGCGCAACTGATCGTACTGCTGCTGGGCGATGGTGGGCAGCACCACGAAGCTCACCTCCTCCTTTCCGTCGAACCCACGCGGGATATCGACGACGGCACGCAGAATGTACGTCAGCTCTGCCGTGCCCGCAGACATGCGACATCGGTAGGACGGCGGGGCGGTGACTGGAAGTACAAACTGGAAGGGGTACTCGTAGTTGCCGGCCTGCAGCGAAGCCCCGCCAGTGCGGCCGCTTTCCTTGGAGAATCCAAAGAAGGTGATAAGGTGCTCATAGTGAACGTAGGACTCCTCCGACGTCTGCCTGCCGCTGCCGCTCTTCTTCACGGTAAAGGACGTCGTCTCTTTACCCCGCGCGAACAAACGGATGGCGGTCACGTCCACGTCCTTCACCACCTCGACCCTGAGACAGCCGGTCACAGCTTGGCCCGGCTGAAACGCCGTCTTGCCGTCGGTGTCGATCTGCAGCTTCACTTTATCCCTGTCGAAGAACATTTTTTCGTTTCGTTTTGTTGGCGGGTGAAGCAACTAGAAGGGAGGGGGGGGAACCAGAACGGTAGTGAAAACAATTACCCGAAGTGTAACGAAGAGAGACAGCTCGTGAAAGAAGAAGCAGAAAGATAGAATAATTGTTTATGTTTGTAGGATGAGATCGAGAAGGGGGAGAGATAAAAGTTAGTAGAAAGAAACGAGGTAGAAGAATGGCGTTTTGTTTTTTCCTCTCCATTAACTTCTATGTTCAGTACAGGGATAAACCACGACCCTCACGATCACTCGGGGTCATTTACAACAACATTAGTTTTCGAAAGATAGCAACATATCATATTGATTTATTTATTAGTATCTTTTTCACGTGGAACGGGAACCAAGACTAACGCAGTGGCAGACTTCAAAACAAGATTAGTCCGCCCTCAAAGCGGGGCGGAGTGGGCCTGGGTGGGCGGGAAAACGAACAGAAGAGAGAACAAGGCGGAAGTCGAAGACTGTCCGTGGAAAAAGAGAAGAAAGTAGAAAGGAGTCCCCGAAGTTGATATTCACTTAGATTCCATTCAAACCATACTTCACATTCAATCATTCCTTTCGCAAGCTCCCCAAAAAAAAAAAACTCCCTCTCTCAAAAAAAAAAAAGGGAAGCAAGCGAACGCGATCAAACAACGAAAGAGTAACTACCGAAGGAGATGCAAAAGGACAAGAAAAAAAAAATGACAAACCTCGCTGCTTATCTTGTCACAATACGTTCTATCTTTAACCTCGTTGACTTGCTTCACAAAGAAGCTGCTTCCGTACAGAGAAGAAAAAAAAAAATGCACTGAACGTCGCCGTGCAACACACGTCATGCCCACTGTGATGTGTGTGGGAACAGTTGACTTGCAAAGGCCGCAAGTGGCAGCGAAGGAGTGCAGTACAAAGAGAAAAGAGGGAGTGAAAAAATGGAGCTGGAGAACAAACGAAATAACAGAAAGTGTTGAGAACAATCCAAGGGATCTTTCGTCTCTGATTATTTTTTATCATTGTCACGCAACATACGCGACGACGGTGCACCGTTGGTCCATCGAATCCAGCGTGAAAAGGAAAAAGAAAAGCGGCAAACTCCCAAAAGAGCAATGTTTAGCACATAAGCAAAAGCCATGTAATCAATTTTGGTTTCCTCAAATCAAAACAGGGTCGCTGGTTTTTTGTTGTTGTTGTTCTGTTTGTGTTGTTGTGTGTGTGTGTTCGTGTGATCTTTACCTCTGCATAGACAATATCTTAAGGTTGAAGAGAGCACTCGCGCGCAAGGTGCGATAAAGAGCGTGTCAACTGCAGCTGAAGAGAAATAAAAGAGTACCCATTTTTTCCTCCTCCTTTTCATTTACCGGTCTGCCTCTGTGCGGCCGTGGTGTGGGGAAAAAAAAAACCCGATTCCATCAGCAGCGCCTTCTGCTGCTCCGCAAAGGTGGTCACCTCGCGCACCGACTGCAGCAGGTGCGTAGCGTGCTCGTTATTTAGCAGGTGGTGAATGCGGTTGCGCTCCACCCGCTCCATGGACCGCCGCATATGCACCTCACCACCGGAGAACAACCCCATCTTCCAATTTGCGGTGCCCATCGTCACGTCCACGTAGTCCTGTCGCACCGCCACGTAGTTGCGGTCGTGTTGGAGGTGCTGGACGAGCATGGCATAGAAGTTGTCACGCAAATCAGCAGGGACAATGCACCCCTTTGACGCAGCGGCAACAGTAGCCGACTTAGGGGCCGACTTCATCGTCCTGTAGTCGCTGTACAGGTACGCGAGCAGCTCCAACGCGAACTGGCGAGTGCGAGTCAAGGCCCGCCACCGATCCACCTCCTGCGCAACGGCGCGGCCAGCGGTAAGGCGAACGTCCGGCGGCAGCGCACCTTGCAATGCAAGGTACACATAAGGTGACCATCCTTGCTGATCGGGAAGGGGCCCCGGTGCGAAGGCCACCGCGGCTGCCTTGGTATTCGCATGCCTTGGTAGGGTCCTCTGATGAGGGTCTAAGCTGTACTGCCAGCGGAGCGCAATGAGGTACCAGAGAACGCGCACCGTCGCGTCTAACTTGCGCAGCTCGACATCCACAGCGCTTGAACAGTCCGCCGAAGTTGTCGGTGAAGCGTCCAACGTCTTCTCCTCCGTCCTCTTCTCCACCTCCGTCCGCCTCGCACCTTCCAGCATCACCTCGTCATGTAAAGCGGAAAGCAGCTCCCACTCACGATCCAGTAAGGCCATCTCCGGCTCCCCGGTAGCCGCGCCCACCCGCTTGTCCGACACAAACTGGGCGACGAGGTACTTTTCTACCGACATCGGCAGCGGAGAAAACGCCGGATGCCCCGAGGACGGATCCAGTGGCGTCGCACCTGTGCTTTGGAGCTGCACCTTTGCCCAGTAGTGGGCGAGTGTTGTGCGACACTCTTGCAGCACGTCTACCCCGCGCTGCTGCTCGGCGTGAATCTCCTCTGCCGTCTTCAAGACCTTCGCTGGAGTCATATCAGCAGCCGCACCCGTTGTGGCCGTCTCCGCCACAGTAGTTGCAACATCCACTGGACGCTCTTCACCACTATTTGTGTCACTGTCGGGGTGATCCTCTGTTGCGACGACGGACGGTTCGCGAGAGCGCTTTCGACCTGCGTGCACGTCGTCGCCCGCGGAGTGAACAACACGCTTTTCCTGCTGTTGTTGTGCTTTCTGCACGGCTGCTGTGTACGGGTCAGTCGCACCCACTGCACTTTTCGATCCCGACGAGGACATCGTCACTGGGGGAGCTGCGGACGTGGTCGCCGCCGCGGACGGTCCCGCCGCAGCGTTTGCCGACTGCTGCTGCTTCTTTTTCTTTAGAAGACCCTGCAAGCCTTCGAATTGCATTATTGAATGTACAACCAAGGTGAGAAGCGTACTCGCAAAGCAAAACAAAAAGTTTCGAAGTCCGTTTGTAACGCTTGAGCTTCTTCGCAAATGAAAAGAAAAAAAAACTTGACCGAAAACAAAAGTATTGCGAGTGACGCGAGAAGCAACAAAAACACCATCAAAAAGGACAAATGAAGGAGGCAGAAAAATAGAGGTCGTTATGCATAGATGTTTGCGGTGTGCACCACTGCGCTTTGTGCAATCTTGCGAACACTGTGAAGCGAGGATGAGATCAGCGCGTGCACACAGAAATACGAAGCTTCGCTGTCTTTTGGGGGTCTTCGGCAATCCCAGCTGCACCCAGCATCACTGCAGCAGAGCTTGAGCAGAAGTTTTTTCTTCTTCTAATCCCAACCTAATTGTGTGAACTCGCTCGAAGCTCATTTCCTCTTTGATCACTACACTGCATCTGCATTGCCGGGTGTCCCTGCAAGTTCAACATCACCGCAGTTCGAAGAGAACTTCGTCTTACTTCCAGTGATGCAATGCATTTTCTTTTATCGTGATTGTGTGTGTGTGTGTGTGTGTTTTTGTGAGGCACTCCCGATACGGGGAGAGGAAAAACACACAAAAATCACACTATACACGTCCATGCAGCGTGACATGACAGCGAGAATAGAATACATATAAAACATGTCGTGAACAAAGAAAAAAAAAACAAGTCGTGCTGCCTGGCGCAGGCACGTTTGAGCTGTACATGAAAAGTTAATTTGACACACGTCCCCGCGGACTTTGCGCGAGACCACAACGCATCTGACAATGGAAGTCGGCAGAAAAACGCAAAGAAGAAGAAACATCAGATTGAAAGAGCGAGCTGCCGCGTCAAGAGAGCCGGGGCACTCGGAAGCTCGCAACGCAACCTTGATACAGCAGGCGCCGCTTCTCTCATTTCCTAGTTGTTGTTTTCGTTTTATATGTTTTTTCAGCTGATCCCTCTCTACTTCGACAATGTAGAGCAGACGCCATCTCACGTCGTACAAGCAAGAAACAAACAACGCAAAAATTCTAGGGTTCATGAACACCTCCACCACATAACCTATCATCATCATCGCCGATGGCTGTCCCTGCCTCGCCGCCACGCGACGCCGAACGTGTGAAACGGGAAAAAACAGGAACCACTAATTTCGGTTCTTCAGCGTTTTGGCCTGCGTCTGCTGCCGCTCGGCTTCCACCGCCCGAACACGCGCCCGCCCCCGCGCCGTCCGCACAAAACCCTTCACGCCAGGGTTGTACTCCGGATCCTCGGTGAACTGCGCGAAGAGCGTCTGAATGCGCTTGCGCAGCTCCACCAGAGAGGCGTCCTTCCGTCCACGGTGCAACAGATCGGCCTCGCGATCGATCAGCTCGCCCAACTCGCGTGCCAGCGGGGAGGTGGCGTCGAACTCTCGCACCGTCCACTTCACACGCAACAAAATGTCGAGCCGTGCCGCCGTCGTGGAAGTAAGGCCGTCTTTGGTGGACGTCATGGCAAGCGCCGGCGTGTCGCTCGCATTGAGCGGCGCGGCAAACCTGCCACTCTGCGGTACGCCGGCGGCGCTGCTGCCCTGCGCAACGTAGCCGGGCGGAGCAAGATGGGGAGAAGAAGAGGCAAGTGGTAAGGGCGACGCTGCCGTCGCATCTGGCTTAGTTCTACTGGCCATCCTCGTGGAGGAGGAAGCGCCGCCGCCGACGGTAGCACCGCCTCGGGCCGGCCTGCTCGTCTGCGCCAGCCGCTCATACAAGTCCCGCAACTCCCCCGCCCGCTCCGTCTCGGGGGTCTCCACGTATACCGTCCCCCACTGCTTCGGGGCGGCCATGCGATCCAGCTGATGCACAAACGACAACTCTTCGCGCGTCTTGCCCACCTCGCGGCGGCGCTGATCGAGTTGCTGTAGTAGCTGCAGCTCCTTCTTGGTGATGGCCAACAGGGCGGCACTGGCGTCGGCCGACGACAGCGTCGCATCGCGCTGAATCCGCGCCGCCTCCGCCGCCCGCCAGTCGATGATCTCCTGTCGCACCCGTTCAAAGTCCATTGCGCTGCGGGGGTCGTCGCGACGCAACTGGGCGGCATCCTCCACGGCGGCGTGCAGGGCCTCCTCGCGTCGCTGCCGTGCACCGGCCCGGTGCTGCCGCGCCGACTCCGCCTCTTCCAACTCGCTGCGCACCCGCCGTGCCTTCCACTGACGGTACATCTTCTGGATCACAACGGCCATCTCATCCCGTAGAGCCTGCAGGGCCCCCGAAGTGAAATAAGGCCGCGCCACCACAACAAAGTCGTGTGACGTGTCCAGCAGCAGGTCCACCCGCGGTGTCTGCACACATGCCTCGCGGTGGGTTTGACAGCTGCGGGAGATGCCGAAGGTTTGCGTGTGTCGCGAGGTCCGATCGACACCGCCTGCCGCCGCCATCGCCACGCCAGACTTGGCAAAGGGCGAGTATTCCAGGTCGCGATGGTAGAGTTGGGTGGCGGCGTGCAGCAGGACATGGTCGGGCTGACGCTTGTCCCGGTATCCGCCAAGAAACGGCTTGGTGGGCGTTACTGGGCTTTCTTGGACGATGGCGATGATCGTGAAATTCGACGCCGCCGTATCAATCCCGCTGCTTTTGCCCTCCTCCTGCACCGCCGCGTCGTGCAGGGTCTGCGTGCGCTGAATCACCTCATCATAACTGTAGCCTTGGTGACGGCCCTCCACGAGGGTGCGGGGCGGAATCTGCGCCTTGCGGCGCCGCACCCGGATGCACCGGGCGACGTAGTCGGCAGGTCCGAGCTCGGCAAGATGCGCAGGTACACCGCCTAGAGAGGTGTGCGCCTCGTCCGCTTCGTCCTCGGCGCCGGGTGCGGTGGACGTGAACGGCTGCTTTGAGCGCGCCTCCGTCGCAGGGAGGGAGGCATGTGGGTTGGGAAATGTAACGGACACCCAAATCGGCTCTGCTCGGTTGTTCTCCGCCGTTGCTGGATCACTAGATGAGGGCGAAGATGTCACGTCGCAGTCCAGGAAAAGCGTGCCCATAAATCGGAGGCGCTTGTGTTGATGGAAAACGTGAAACGACTCGGGGTGAAGATGGAGCCGCTCCGCGAGGACTTCAAACAGCTCCTTCGCAATCAACACCCAGTACGGGGATTCATTCCGCCCTCCATTTCGATCCGCGCGTAGACCAGTGTCGCCGTCGCCGTGCACCGCCTCTTCGTCCTCCTCGTCGCTGCCTTCGTCGTGGACGTTGGAGGAGGGAGGGGGGCGGTAGAGGTTGGGGTTGTGGACCGGCACCGTGATGCGCGTGAGCGATTGCATTGGCAGGAGCATGGCAGTGACCTCCGCCGTGCCGTGTGCGGCCTGCGGAAGCTGACTCCAGCCCGGTGGCGCGGCAGCAGCAGCAGCGGTAGCAACACGCACATGAACGTCATCGGAGGACGTAGCGGCTTCTGAACGAGGTTCCTCAGCAGCACCAGCAGCAGCGGCCGTCGCCCCATCATCGTCGACGTCATGGTGCTGCTCAGCTTCAGCTGGAATATCCGTCTCTGCATCCACCTGCGTGCCGTGGCAGGGCTGACGTGCTAGCGTGGTGGACTGCGCCACGGTGGTTGCACTGGGGCGTCGCGGAGGCGCACCCGAGGCATCTGCAGAGCGCCGTCGCTCGACCGTTGCACCATTTCCGCTGCGTTGGCCTTCTTGGTCGTCTTGCTCTGTGGGGATGTCTTCGTATTCGTGTGTTTCGTGACCAACCTCGTCGTGCTGGCGTTGCTGCGCAGACGGCACGCGTCGCACATCCGATGCAACGTTGTCTGCCAAGTCCTCCGCATGCGGGTTCAGACGTGCGAAGTAGCCGACATCGTTTGGGTCCGGACTCGCTCGCGGGGGAGCAACCTCATGACCCACCTCTGAATCGTCGCCTTCTGCGCCACCGTGAGAAAGGGGGGAAGGGCCATCCTGCTCCTCCATCGCCTCTTCTTCCTCTGGGCTGGCCTGTGGAGGTTCTTCTGCTGTTGGGAGGCCAGCAGTGATCTGCTCTTCTACGTGATCTGGGTTTGTCGAACTGTCCTCCATTCTCGGGACTTCTCCTTTTGTTCGTGAAATCTAATCGAGCCGCTCGGAAATAAAGCACCACCACGTAATAGCGGAAAGCAAAGATAGCAACTACACTGTTGTTCTTTGCTTCTTCTTATAACAATAATAAGAATAATAATAGTAAAGATTCACAGAGAGACGCGCAGGGATGCAACGCAGAGCCACGTTGGCAGAAGGACGGAACGCACAAAAGCACACGAAAAGATGGAGAGGAAGAAATTGAAAAAGCGAGTAAAAGTGGTGAACATTTACAACCCGTCGTTTCACGGTAGACATCAGGCGTGTGAGCCACTGACTTCTTTTTCTGAACGCATAAATCTCGGTGCGTTGCGCTCGCCGAAGATCGCGTTGCGACACCGACCGTGTAACTCCGCTGTTGAACGCTTTTTGGAGTCAACAACATCAGACCAGCCGAAACCGCCGTTTCACCTAGAAGGCACATTATAAGTTGTTGCTGTTGTTTTTCTCTTGAACCTTTTTCGAATGCTGATAGTTTTCTGCTTTGCGTTTTAGACAGTGAAATCCACCGTGACGTGTTCGCACACAGAACGAAAATGTGAAGAAGAAGAAACAAAAAAAACGGGGTATTCGTTTTCGAGGTAGGAAAGCGGAGCACTGGCAGCGAGACACCTTCTCACAAGCAAAAACCAACGCCGACCTGCTTTGCCTCACGCAAATAAAAAAAGAGATGAATTTTACGCAGGTCAGGTGACCTGTGTGCTGGGGTGGTTGCTCGTTGGTTGACAGCCTTCATCTGCCGGCGTCGCTACGATCAACACAGGGCCGCTTTTCGTTTTTGCTGCCTCCTGCTCCATCAGCACCCGCATCTGCTCCAAGACAAGACGTTCATTTTCCTTCTGATAGGTCGTGTACGCAGCCGCCCCAACAGCAGCCGCAGCCACGACACCCGCTAACGCTCGATACATTATTCGCAGCTAACAACAGTAAAACAAAAAGCTATTTTCGATGGTAATGCAAAAGGCAAACGATGTATTTGTTTTCATTGATTGAGAGGAAAGAGGAGAGGTCGTTGAGCAGCAACGGTTATCATTACGTTTTAGAAAGGGAAAGAGGAACGTTAAAGGTGGAAAGTGGCTGGCAACGCGAGCTGCGCCGAGGGAGCACACGGAATGGAAGTGAATGATGTGTGAACTCCCACGTGCATCGTAGCCGCACTCCGTAGTCGAGGGAAAGACCAAGCAGACGCGGAAAAACGTTGTTTGCAGTTTCGTACTACGCCAGTTGCACATCGCACGGAAGAAGAAGCACCGCAAGCTCTTGCCACACTCGTACGAACAGCAGCTACGTGCTGCTCAGCCGCGTTGGGCGAGCTCAGGCGGTTCTGCTTTCTTTTCCTTTTTTACGTTTATTTGCTTGTCTATGCATTTTCCTTTCGACATCGCCATCAACAGCACCATTATTACCGTATTAGAAGAGGGGCACCGCATTGCAGACGCAATTGAAGAGGAAAAAAGTCGAAGAACAAAATGTCACACCAACTCACTCAGATAGCTTACCTTATAATAATAAAAAACACAAAAAAGGGAGGCATCCCCGCCCACGACGCCATGAAGGCATCCAGGCTTGAGCACGTGCGGCAATGCTTCACGAGCTGCTCTTCACCCTGTCATCACAATCGTTGTTGCCGCCTCCTCTCTCTCACCCTATGATAGCGCCTCTTCTTTCTATATTAGTGCTGCCTCCCACTCTGCTTATCGAGTCTGCTGCTGCACCTGTTCCATAATTAAAGCGTGGTATTCCTCCGCTGTCTGGTGCGGCTGCACCACCGGTTCGCCGCACAGCTCGTACACCTTGGGATCAGCGTTGTGCGCCAGGTTGCTCAGTGCGTCGGTCGCCTCCTGCACTTCAAAGAACTTCGACTCCGGCACCTCCGTCTCAGGGGAAGGACTGCTCTGGCTGTCCTTGATACGGGCAGCGGCGATAGCCTTGTCCTCCATGATCTTGCTGCCTGCCACCGCGTTGCCCGATGTCGGGGCAGCAGCGGGGGTCTGCTGCTGCTTCTGCTGCAGCACGCGCGTGCTGACCCACTTGTTCCCTGTCTTGCCGGAGGACATGATGTCGAAAGTTTACCGAGGTAAAGTGTGGGGGGCAGAGAGACAAAAAAAAACTTGTCAATGAAAAGAGAACGAAGAAGAAAAGCAGTTTTCTCTCATAAAATCAATGCGAAAACGAGTTGACAGCGTAATACATATATATATGATCATCATAGTGTGGTTTGTAGACAGAGTAGTGAAAACGAGGATTCCAGCGCAGGAGATGAACCGAAATGGGCAAAGCGCGTCAGATTGTTTAGACAGGGGAGGGAACTTCCATGATAACCAGCGGCGTAGAAAGCATAAATGTTGCTGCGTGGGGGGGCGGGGGGGGGGGGGGTTACGCGCCTTTGAATCTCAAACGAAACTCCAGAAAAATATCTTCTGCCACATCTTTAGTCTTTTTGGAGTGTGTTGTTATGCGTTTTCCCCTTTGGTCTAGAGCGGAGCTGCCATGTCATGAGGCAAAACACATTGCAGATAATGAAGGAGCAGCAGAGGGAAAAAAGAAACGAACTCGCCGCAAAAAGGAAAAACGGATGCAGCTTCGTCGGTCAGACCTTGGAGAGCCACACACGCCACGCATCCGTTTCGTGGAGCAAGTCGGGGCACGCCAATCGCTCCATCACCGCACTCGGCTCGTCATCCATCTGCAGTTCCGTGAGCGGTTGCGTCAGAACAGTGCTCTGAATCAGCGCCTTAATATGTGCCGCACTCATCACTGTGTTGAGGGAATGATGCGGCGTAGAACGCGCTACCGCTTGTGCTGCCGGAGTCCGAGAAGACAGTGGACGGCGCGAGGCAGCGGAGGGGGAGGAGGGCGATGATGAAGAAGCTGTTGCTTCAACATGTTCTGACTTGTCCGACACACCGCGACGCTTTGGGCGGCCAGAGGGGAGCGTCTCTGTTTGCCCAAGCGGGCCCTTTGCGTACCGGTTCATCCTCGCAGACGAAGAACCGTTAGTCACGCCTTCCGCATCGTTGTTGTTGTTGCCACTTTTTGTCTTCTTCACATCCGCGTCTGACACTGCATCGCCGTCGTTGTCGTTGTCCAGCACGTTTTCGGCATCTTCACCGCCGTCGTCGTCCACTTCAGCTCCGTCGGCCAGGTGTGGCATCTGCGCCTCATGCAGTTCCACTTTCCACCGCAGAAAGTTGTACACCCCCCTGCGCCGCGATACCGCGGGCCACATCGACGCACCGCCAGCACTGCCGCCCACAAGAGAAGAGAAGGTTGGTGTCCCACCACTGCCGCCTCCCGCACTGAGTGCAGCACCAGCGGCGGGAAGACTGATGAAGTAATCGTTGCTCGTGCCGTAGAGGTACGCCCCGGCCAGCAAAGGCACCCCCCAGGGTAGCCGATGGGGCTGCACGTACGGGTGCAATAGCGTCGGTGGTGGCGGCGGTGGTGACGGCGAAGCGAGCGAAGGGGGGAGTTTCTGATCTGTAGCTGAATGCACAGGGGAGCAAGACACTTTCGAGATCTTACTTTCCGTTTCGTGCGGGATCTGCTGACGCCACCGCAGCCACAACCTGTAGACGCGGACGCGCCAAGCATCTCTGTGGGCGTCCCCGCACGGCTCAAAAGGCACAGCCGCCTCGAGCGACAAAAGCCGCTGCAGCGCCGCTGCTGTGCGCTGCGACTGTGTCCACGTGCGCCACTCCAAGCCGACCACCTCCTGCTCGATAGCTCGTCGATGGGACTCTGGAAAGTTGAGGAGTTGCTGCTGTTGCTGCTGCTCTTGCAAGCGCAGTGAGTTTGCCGCACCAGCACCACGCGAGGGAGCGGAAGAAGCATCGTCACCGCCGCCGCCCTCGTTCGCGCAAGCGCCTTCCTCAATTACCACCACCATGGCAGGAGACGACGGCGACGGCGATACACCCTCCACTACGTCTTGTGGAGCACCATGTTGCGGACGCCCTGACTTTGCATCTGCGAGTCTTTGTTTGTCCTTCGACTCCCGCCGCTGCAGCAGCAGCTGCTGTTCCTGTTCCCACAGGAACGCTTCTTCTGCTGCGCACAGAGCAGGCAGCCCTGCAACTGCCAAGTCGATCAGCTGCGACTCTGAAAGGGTGAAAATGGAATCCTCCGTGATGCTCTGCGGCCGCGGTGGCGCCAGCGGGTGCGGCACAGCGAGCGGAGCATCCGCATCGATGACGATCGAAGTAGGCGGCGCCGCGAGATCGCCAGTTTTTCCATCCATTTGTGCAATGCGCGACTTCGCGGTGCGCAACTCTTGTGCTGTGGCCGCCACAGAGGATGTAGAAATTACTGGTATACCGTCGTCACGCGCGGCAGCTGTGGAGGACGCATTCTGATTTACGGCATCGATGTCGTGTTGGAGGCGAAGAAGGAGTGAATCCACGTCGCACCTACACCGTGGATGAGACGTGGCCGCTGGGGGACCGAGGAGAATTCCGCTGGCGGAGGGCGTTGAAAACAACAACCGTGGTTCACCCACGTCATCGAGGGTAAACACAGGTGGGAGGTCCACTTGGCGGCGTCTGGACGATGCCAAGGTGGCGGACGAAGATACCGCACTCGCCGGTGAATTCCCCAGTGCGTCTCGTCGGCCTCCAACGCTACCGGTGCTGCTCCCAACATTATAATGATCGTCTTTAAGACCAGCTGTGCTGAGTGCGTCATGGCGGCTTGTCGTGGAGGCGCTGCTGCCCCCAAGAGACCCGCCACTGGCATTTGCGATGAGCTGATACAGTGTCGCGTACGCTGCGTTCTCCTGCAGCCACTGCGTCAGCGGTGCCTCTGGCCAGCTAAAGCAGTACGACTGCTCGTCTGCTAGTGGGAGGAGCTGAACTCGCTGGCCGACGTGAACGGCGCGCTCCTCAGCAAAGTCGAGGGGGCGGAATCGCTTGCGCGAGAAATGCATGTTTGTACTGCCTCTTTTTTATCTGTTTTTTTGTTTTTGCAGGAGTGTTGTCTTCTATGCTTGAGTAGGATGATGCATCCATGTAAGTCGGTTCACGAAGGCATATACGTAAAGAATGGTTGGCGTTGAAAATGAACTAGTACAGTACATTTTACCACGCAGATACGCTGGATACACCGCAAAGGCAAAAAAAAAACCTGGAACGCGAAAAAAAAGGGGGAGAAGAAAAAGTACGCACCCAACTGTTTCATTGGCCAAACAACAAGTGGAGATATGGAAGGAAGCAGACTTTCGTGAGAGTGTTGTCAAATAGGCAATTAACATGTAACGAATAAATAAAAAAAACACTAGAGCGATGAAGAGAGAACTTTCAGCAACAGAATCCTCTTTCTCCGCCGTAAACAACGACGGATGCGCCACTTCGGGATCCAAAAGGCAGACTGGCATACGAGAGGGTACGGCAAAGCAGAAAGGTAACGCACCGCGTTCCTCGCCAAATAATGCCTTCAGAGAAATACAGCGGTGGACGCGCTGATAAACGCATCTTGGGGGTTTGGTTGTGGGTTTCTTTATTTAATCTTGTTTTTGAGGGGAAAGATAAAAGAGTCTGTAGGAATCAACATGAACACGGAGGCGACGAACGCATAGTCACGCTCGAGTGACATAAGCCAGGCACAACAACACCTCTCCCTTCGGCAACATTAGGCCGACACGAAAGATCAACACAAAGGGCAGAGGGAAAAAAAGAATGTCGCACGCAAACACTCAATCAAAACAAAAGAAGACAAAAAGGTTGACAAGACGCTCAACCCTCACGAATCCTGTCTTGGGTGCCTCCAGGCTAAATCCCCTCCGCAGTAATCGCCGGAACATCCAGCACTGTTGGCTCCGTGCGAAGTCCCGCACGCTTCATCGTCATCAAGGACGCATACGGGATGGCGGTGCGGTCGGGCAGCACCATCTCCGGGTCCTCCGCCAGCGTGATGAGCATGTGTGAGGACTTCTTCGTCTTCCAGGAGTAATAGCCACGACTACGAATATCCACCTGCTTGTCTGTCGGACCTGGCATGCAGGTGATGTGGGCAATACGTAGATGCTCCTTGTCCAAGCCTTTTCCTTCGGCGCCTTGCTGCGCCAGTTCCAAGGCTCGAAAAACTGCCATGTGGCCTTTCCGGGTGGACAGCTTGCACTGCGCCATGGCCTCTCGCACCGACAGCCCACGCAAGACGCTGAGTTCGATATCGAGTTTCTTCCACGAGGACGGAACGGCTTTCATCATGAAGCTGTATTGCGGCAACTGGTCTTGCGCCTTCTGCAGTTCCGTCTCTAGCCGCTCGCTGTACATCTTCCAGTTGACCTGGTACATGACGCCCTCCTCCTCCACGAGCGCCCAGCGGTCCTCCGTCACACGCTGGTTGTTGACTACCCTCTCCCAGCGGTTAATGTCGGGTAGGTTGACTTTGTTGATCCACAAGCACCGCCACAGCGTCCGATCGAGCAGAATGCGCGGCGTGCTGCCCATGTGCTTCTGGATTGCGAAAGGGCGGGTGGAGAAGTACTGCCGCTTGTACCATAGCTCGCGCGCGTAGTGCTTCTGGGTGCCGAGGAATTGACCACCGACATTTTGCCGCTTCGGGGCAGGACGGAGCCCGATGAAATAGCGAGGTGCGGGCTTGGGCATCGAAGGGCGAGGGGGAGTCGCAGTAAGGTCAATTACGTAGTGGGTGAGGAGATGCCCAAAGGGACCTGCGCGCGTTCGTTATGGAGAGCAAACACGATCTCTGCTCTTCTATCGTGCTAATGTGCACGAGGAGAGAAAAACTAATTGACGTATTTCAGACGGTGGGATAAGGCATGAAGGGAATATGAATGGAAAAGTCATCGTTATGAAGAGCACACACATACGAGAAAAAAAAAAACGATTGTTCATTTGCATCGCGCAGAGTGTGAGGAGAGTTGGTGAAGGGGATCTGCGAAAGTACACGCATCGCGGATGTAACATGAACAGGTTGCTTCTCCACGCATTGGACGAGCACCATTTGCAAAGCTCCCATTTGAGCTTGTCAGGCACCTTACAACGCAGATACAGAAAGAAAGAAAACGGAAGGATAGCTTTCCGGCAGAAAGCAGGAGATTCAAGAGAAGGTGTGTGCGAAGAGGAGTTCGTTGGAAAAACAACAGCGAGTATGGAAGTCTTTCACCGTGGGAAAGGAAAAACAAAAGGTGTCACCCTTTCTATACAAGTTTGCGACACCTTCCGTTTCCATATACAATTCAATCGGCCACTCTCGTTCGATTAAACTGCTTTTCCTCAACCTCTCTACGCCTGTTTCCCCCCTCCCTTCCACCCTCCACCCCTACCCCCCTCACCTTTTGCCCTTTCCTCTCCCCCACATACCCTTCCCAACGCCGCAAGAGGAATCAGTGAGTCATGACGTACTTTTCGATGCTAAGCCTTGCACAGGAGCAATGAGTGTTTATCAAACACCCCAACAACACTCATCCTTTTGTTCTTCAACGTGCTTTCTGTTTTCACTTTTTATTAGCTCGCACATATAGGCGAGAGTGCTTCTACAGCAGGCTCATTGATTTATAGGCAAACTGGTTGCTACAAGGTAAACTGGAACGCACGCGTATAGAAACAGAAATTACTGTTTTAGGTCGCCTTTTGGGGTGTTATCAAGAAGCAGCTAATCAACAAAAGTAAGAAGAATCGTTTGCCGACAACAAATCACTCGTATGATACGAAACGAAACAAGTTTGAGTTTCGGGGAAAAAATAGGAATAAAACGTAGGCGAAGAAATAAAAAGAAAAGGCAGAATATGTTAAGCGACAACGGAGAAAAGGAACTTTTTCTTTCGCAACGGCGTATATTCATTTGTTTGAGGGTGTTTAACCACGAAATGAAGCGTTGAAGAGCAAATGCGATTACAAGGCAATGAAAGTGGATTAAAAAAAAAATGGAAACACTTTTAATTGTAAAAAGAAAACATCTGTAGTGAGTACATATATATTTAACTTGGACACACTCTCGATTAGCACCCCCTCCCTCCCTCTCTTCTTTTCGTAACTCGACTGAGCCTGTGGTTCTTTTTTCCCCACTAAGACGAATTTAGGCATGATAAGCAGTCGTTAATGCTGCGCACAACACAACAGTACTCCCGACACGCCAAACCCGCTACGAAAGAAGAGAAAGAAAGAATAAGCGTGGCTGCAAACGAAGGGAAAAAAACACCTATAGAAAAACTCGATCAACATGAGAAGCCGACACCCACAGCAGTTGGTTATGGAAAGAGAATAAGAAGGATAGGAAGTCAAGAGTCGAAGTGATTGCACGGCATTTAGGGAAATACATAACTAGCGAGTACCTGGCATCAATGTCCCCATCAAGGCTACTCATTGTTTCTTCACTATCTAGTATCTGCCCCAATTCCGTTCTTCTTTA